TAAGAAAGAGGAAAGAGAGAGAGAGAGAGAGAGAGAGAGAGAGGAGAGAAAGAAAGAGAAAGAGAGAGAGAGAGAGAGAGAGAGAGAGAGCAACTGGAACAACAGGAAACACGGATCAGGACTAAGGAAGCTCTCAGACATGCAGGCAGAAGATAAGGAACTTGCTGCTGTTTGAAACGTCTCCTCACACACACACACACGCACACACACACACACACACACATGCTCTGCTTTCTGTCAGCACTTGTAAAATCACAGCAGGATCTACTGAGGATGTTGTTGTGTAACGACACAAAACGTCCAGGCTGCAGAGTTCATGCACAGAGCTGCAGAAACAACGTGGCTAAAAATGAGCTGGTGCTCTTCTAAACATGGACGCTGTAGAATGAATCACATCTGCTGATCCACATGAAGGTCGGAGTGTGCTCTCATTGTCTGCTCTCGTGTTTTTGTCAACATCACGAAAGCAGCTATTCCTTTGGAACATCAACAACCTGTTGACAACAAACGACCTCCTAGTGACTGGCATCTGCTTCACACTGCGTGCCGAAACACATGCTGCCGGGGAAAGGTGACCTACATGAAGGCCTCTAAGCAGTTCTCCTTGGCATCCACTGCCACTGGATGTGCTCAGGTGTGGGAAATCCACGAGCGGTACAGCTGAGGGTGGGGGCTCCTGCCATACTCGTACACATCAGTGTCAGCAGCCACCTCCTTCTCGATGATATGGGGAGGCACTGTGGGTGAGCAGGTGAAAAATTCATGCATGTGCCTTCTCAAAGATCAAAGGTCACCTTTGGTGACGTAAAATAGCACGCTTTTCAGAACAAAGAAGGGTCAAATTAGACAACCATTCCACAGGCTGGTGGGCCAAAACAGAAACATTAACCCTGACTGGCCGGCACTCTTCTTTCTGAAGCCTGCATTGAACTTTCTAAAAGAACTAAAATCTGGAAATACAGTGGGGCAAAAAAGTATTTAGTCAGCCACCGATTGTGCAAGTTCTCCCACTCAAAATGATGACAGAGGTCAGTTATTTACATCATAGGTACACTTCAACTGTGAGAGACAGAATGTGGAAAAAAATCCATGAATTCACATGGCAGGATTTTTAAAGAATTTATTTGTAAATCAGGGTGGAAAATAAGTATTTGGTCAATAACAAAAATTAACTCAATACTTTGTAACATAACCTTTGTTGGCAATAACAGAGGTCAAACGATTACTATAGGTCTTTACCAGGTTTGCACACACAGTAGCTGGTATTTTGGCCCATTCCTCCACGCAGATCTTCTCGAGAGCAGTGATGTTTTGGGACTGTCGCCAAGCAACACGGACTTTCAACTCCCTCCACAGATTTTCTATGGGGTTGAGGTCTGGAGACTGGCTAGGCCACTCCAGGACTTTCAAATGCTTCTTACGGAGCCATTCCTTTGTTGCCCGGGCGGTGTGTTTGTGATCATTGTCGTGTTGGAAGACCCAGCCACGTTTCATCTTCAAAGCTCTCACTGATGGAAGGAGGTTTTGGCTCAGAACCTCACGATACATGGCCCCATTCATTCTGTCCTTAACACGGATCAGTCGTCCTGTCCCCTTAGCAGAAAAACAGCCCCAAAGCATGATGTTCCCACCCCCATGCTTCACAGTAGGTATGGTGTTCTTGGGATGCAACTCAGTATTGTTCTTCCTCCAAACACGACGAGTTGAGTTTATACCAAAAAGTTCTACTTTGGTTTCATCTGACCACATGACATTCTCCCAATCCTCTGCTGTATCATCCATGTGCTCTCTGGCAAACTTCAGACGGGCCTGGACATGCACTGGCTTCAGCAGCGGAACACGTCTGGCACTGCAGGATTTGATTCCCTGCCGTTGTAGTGTGTTACTGATGGTGACCTTTGTTACTGTGGTCCCAGTTCTCTGCAGGTCATTCACCAGGTCCCCCCGTGTGGTTCTGGGATTCTTGCTCACCGTTCTCATGATCATTTTGACCCCACGGGATGAGATCTTGCGTGGAGCCCCAGATCGAGGGAGATTATCAGTGGTCTTGTATGTCTTCCATTTTCTGATAATTGCTCCCACAGTTGATTTTTTCACACCAAGCTGCTTGCCTATTGTAGATTCACTCTTCCCAGTCTGGTGCAGGTCTACAATTCTTTTCCTGGTGTCCTTCGAAAGCTCTTTGGTCTTGGCCATAGTGGAGTTTGGAGTCTGACTGTTTGAGGCTGTGGACAGGTGTCTTTTATACAGATAATGTGTTCAAACAGGTGCCATTAATACAGATAACGAGTGGAGGACAGAAAAGCTTCTTAAAGAAGACGTTACAGGTCTGTGAGAGCCAGAGATTTTCCTTGTTTGAAGTGACCAAATACTTATTTTCACCCTGATTTACAAATAAATTCTTTAAAAATCCTGCCATGTGAATTCATGGATTTTTTTTTCACATTCTGTCTCATCTATGATGTAAACTACTGACCTCTGTCATCATTTGAAGCGGGAGAACTTGCACAATCGGTGGCTGACTAAATACTTTTTTGCCCCACTGTATATGGGGAGGCAGTAGAAAAACACTTGAAAACTGCATTGATACTACTCCATTTAAAAAAGGGGTCAAAAATCATTCTTGGGTTTTAAAAAAGCTAAAGTTCACCAGGTCAGGTAAGGAGAGGACAGAGATCACCTACCATTAACCATCAACTGAAACGAGCGTCTCTGTGTGATCTTATTGGTCAGGACCAACGTGTAGTTCCCGGCATCCATCGCTGTGACTTTACGGATGACGAGAGCATCATTTTTCATCTTTACTCTGTAGTTTTCTTTCAGTGCTTGGCCATTTTTTAACCTGTGAGATCAGAAAAATGTGTTACAATATCCGTCTCAATTCTTTCTGTAAACCTGCAAACTGCAGCTGCGATGTGGACGTACCATCTGAAGTCGGGTTCTGGATAAGCCGAGTATTTGACAGGAATGGAGGTTTGTTCCCCCACATTTGCTTCCCACACCTTGAACCATGGTTCTTTCAGATCAATGAAAGGTTTTTCTAAAAACAAAGAAAACGATCAAAATCACTCAGATCTCTGTCGCTACAGTAGCTGTGGGATTGTTACGGGGAAAGGGTTGGCAAATTCACACATTCGATTAGTTAAATCAACTCACTAAAAGTAGAAAAAACTAAAGAAAGAGGCAACCCAACATGAGCTTAGCAACTTACCAGTACCTTTACATAAGAAGCAGTGAAAAGACTGGATATTTAAAGATATGCCGGCATAAACAATGCAACTTATAGCACCAGAGAAATAAATAACATTGCAGAAAGTAAATCGCATGTGTCTGATGAGCAAACTAATCTCAGGCATCAGAAAAAGAGAACTTGAATAAATAGATAATATAGTTTTCAGCAGTGGGAAATTCCTTTAATAAATACATCTGCAGTGGTCTCTGGTAGGAATCAACGCCTTGCATGCTGTACTCGTGGCAAAACAGAAACGCCTGGTTAATCTAAAACTTAAAGTCCCATTAGTCGTCACACACACTGCTGTGAAATTTGTCCTCCGCATTTGACCCATGCCCTGGGGCAGCGGTGAGCTGCAGACACAGCCGCCCTTGAGAACTATTTGGTGGTTTAACCCCCCAAACAAACCCCTAAATGCTGAGTGTCAAGCAGGGAGGATCAGCAGAGACAACTCTGTGGAGAGTTAAGCATGGCGGGATGTGGAGTCTTATTTCCTGATATTTAGACACCTCGCCTGGAACTGGACAACAGTAATGCAACTCTACCACTGTCTCCACGACATTGATGTTTTATCTCCAACAATAGCACAAGCCTGGAGAAGCGTTCGTCGTGTGGTTGAGTCGCTAATGCTAACTGTTAGCTTCTGATCATCGAGACATCCTCTGCTAAGGCAGCAAAATTATGGCAAAAATGAAAATCACCATTATTGAAATCACAACTGAAATAGAAATCTTAATTATTTAAGATGATTTTTAATTAATGTTTGTTCATTTGTTTGTTTGTTTGTTTGTTTGTTTGTTCAGTCATAAAATTGCACAGGGCACAATCAGAGGAAAAAAATAGGAAAATGGAAGCAACAAGATAATCACAAAAATAACTCCTGATAAAAGAGCCAATGCCCTTGCTTAGAGCTTATGACCCAAAAGGTTTAGGCTGAGGTTTAACTCGTTTAAGCGTACCCAATACAGACCCAATCTGATAAAACTACCTTGCAAATACTGACAGCAAGATTTATACAGTGCATTTATAAGATGAAACAAATAGAAACACATAAACATAATAATTATTTACTCCGCAAACCAACCTAGTCCTGTCTGTAAAAAGTAATTCACTTTGTTAAAACTCTTGATGACTGCTATCGTGAGTTTGATGTAAAGATCTTGAAAAATATTCTTTCCTAATCTCTTTTTAAACATTAATCAGATTTATGACATGTTTGTCTAAACACATTGGGGCTGAAAAGGGCCACAAATGGCCCCAGAGCCACAGATTGAAGACCCCTAGCCTACACAAACAAAACAAATATGTTACTGAGAAACCGAAGAACAACATGTGCTTTGTACCAGCAACACCATTACACTGACGTTATCCACAAAGGCATGGGCTGCACACCTTAGGCTGTGCAGGCTGGTTGTTTTCTGAAAGGAATGCAGCCCATAAAACACAACTGATTCTTTCACTAGTCTTTCAAGTCAAAATATCTGTCATGAAATAGTCCCATCTCTCAGTTATCCCCACGGCCTTAGGACTGTAACTGTGATTTAGCGGCGCTTGATCTTGAATTTGAGTATTTTTAAGGCAACACAACCGTTTGGGTAAGGAATGTGGGTTTGAACAGCTGCCTCTGACTTCACTGCTGGGTCAGTGATCCATCAACTCTTCTGACTCGAATCAAACAATTTCAAACAGACCCACCATAGACTGTAAAATATATTGAGGCACTTTTCTCCATCTGGCCGCTGGATGCCGTGCAGGTGAAATATCCAGTGTGATCCGCCGTGACGTTCTCCACTATCAGCGTGTTGGACAGCACCAGAGAGTTCCACAGCTTCTTCTTGTGGGAGACTTTGTAAAACGGTCTTGATCCACCATCTGAGGTCTGCCGTAGGGTGACATAAAGTTGCTTTTTAACAAGATGAGTCAGACGGGATTGCTGTTTGCGCGAGCAAAACAACAGAGAACATCAAAAGTCCACCAAGTCACCTTTGAACCCTGACCTGATGGTGCAGAGAAAGGCTAGAAGATCCCTAAAAGCAGGAAGTCACATTTATTTTACAAACAAGAGGAAGTGAGGGACAGCACTCTCAGTGTGTCTGTTTGCCGCTCTAAGGGGAAAGGTGAGGGCGCATGAGGTCACTACATGAGTGTTACGCGGAGAGACTCACCAGCATCCCTCCAGAGTGGGTCCAGTTGAATTGAATGCCCACGTTGAGCTCGGTGTGGGCGGTGCAGCTGAGCTCCAGCCGCTCCCCCACAGACAGCCTCTGTTGCACAGGGGTCAGGGTGAGGTTGTAAATCATGTATCCTGCGGAAAAGGGAGGGAAGGCATGACAGTCGGTGGACATGCCATTGTTCTCCAAAAACCTCCACAAACTCAATCCTGCCCACCGTCTCCCTGTTTCACACCGAGTCCCTCACTCCTGTTGGGTGGAGCCGGATTTAAAAGTCTTTCTGATACACAGATCCATGAGCTCCATCTTACCAACAACCGCCACAATGTAGAGAGGGGACTTGAAGGTCTGGTTCCCGATCCGAGTCTGGCAAGACACGACGCCGGCATAACTGATCAGATGAGCAGGTACCGTGAAGCCTGTCCGGGCATCCCACACCGAATCCTTCCCATCAGGATGGATCTCCTTGATTGGATACTTCTGACAGACAGGGAAGGTTATTGATTTCAAACTAAATAAGAAAGCAAGAGCTTATAACAGAGTTTATATATATACATATATATATATATATATATATATATATATATATATATATATATACATATATATATATATATATATATATATATATATATACATATATATTTATATGTATATATACATATATATATATATATATATGTATATATACATATATATATATATATATATATATATATATATATATATATATATATATATATATATATATATATATATATATATATATATACATATATATATATATGTATATATATATATATATATGTATATATACATATATATATATATATACATATATATATATATATGTATATATACATATACATATATATATATATATGTTTATATATATATATATATATATATATATATGTATATGTATATATATGTATATATACATATATAGATATATATGTATATATACATATATGTATATATATATATATATGTATATATACATATATATATATATATACATATATATATATATTTATATATATATATACATATATATATATATGTATATATATATATATATGTATATATACATATATATACATATACATATATATATATATATATATATATATATATATATATATACATATATATATATATATGTATATGTATATATACATATATATATATATATGTATATATATATATATATATGTATATATACATATATATATATATATACATATATATATATATACATATATATATATATATATATATATATATGTATATATACATATACATATATATATATATATGTATATATATATATATATATATATATATATATATATATATATATATATATATATGTATATGTATATATATGTATATATACATATATAGATATATATGTATATATACATATATGTATATATATATATATGTATATATACATATATATATATATACATATATATATATATTTATATATATATATATACATATATATATATATATGTATATATATATATATATGTATATATATATATATATATATATACATATATATATATATATATACATATATATATATATATATATATATATATATATATATATATATATATATATATATATATATATATATATATATGTGTGTATATATACATATATATCTACCTGAGCTGACTCATCTGAGATTGTTCTAAGGAAAACATCAGTGTAACTAAAACTTTGGTGTATATTTGTTGGCTTGAAACTAAAATAAGACATTTATTCACAGTGATTCAAAGAGGCAGCTCCAACAGCTTCACAAAGTACCTCATTCCTTACAACGCTCTTGGAAACCGCAGACCTACACCAGAAAGGGTCTGTGTTAGGAAAGCTTGGAATTTGGAAAAACACGGGGCCTTATCGGGCATCAGGAGTCACACGAACAATTGCTATTGAATGCACTTGTTTTCCAAAAGTGGCGTCTGATATTTGGAGAGAGTATGACCGCATTTTTCCAAAGTTAACCAGTTTATTGGTAATTGCTTTAATACTTCCATAACTTTCACTGGGAAGAATTTTATTTTACTTTTTTCATCAGTACAAGTCCAAATGCCACAATCCATTTTTTGTTCTAATTCCCATCCTAAAGGACACTCATTAGAAGTTATTCGACTGTGTAAATAAATGAAACATTCCTGCTTACAGTGTTGAGCGTCACATTGAGCTCCTCCACCGAGCCTCGGCAGGGAATCACCACCCGCTCTCCCTCGCGGATGAAGACCAACTCACACTCCTTGTCAGAAGGCACAAACGGCACCTTGTAATCTAGAAAGTACAACATAATAATAATTATTATGCTTTATGTGCTAGTGTCACTCCATTCACAGCCTGTAGGGGGACAAGTACACCATAGTCATTCACACACATGAACAAAACTGCTCTTATTTAGCTGGATTTCTACCTAAAAGGGTTAAGAAACTGCAAAGAGTAAACCCACCACCTTAAATGTTCTAACCCCCTGTTGTCATTTTGAACATTATAAATGTAAAACATCTATAATTCTCCTAAAGTCACCCTAAAATTACATAAATAATTGTTTCCATCGATGCTGAACACAGCAGTTAGGTTCATTTTGTGTAAGTGTGTCTTAAATCAACCAAGAATATCTGCTCAAATCATGTCAGACAGAACCATGAAGGCCGCAGGCTGGAGATGACCACAAGGTCAGCACCCGATGGCTCCATGTCGTTGCGGGCGACCTCCAACTGGAAACAACTGGTTCACCTGGTAGGCTCAACGCACTGGTGCAGGGCAACACCCGACCCTTCACAGGAGCCTTGATGGTGATGATGACAACCATGAAGGTGTTATTTATAACTACTTCTACAGTCAGAGTCTGCTGCAGATGACTGAACCCTCCTTCTTCTCTGATGAAGGCTATGTGAGTCCGTGTTTCACCGCTGAACTGCTGTGCAGTTTCTTAGAAAATGAGTGTGCTATTCAAAAAACAGGATGGGACAAATCCAGAGCCGAATGCATCATCTGTAAGTGAAATGAAAAACCTTTCAATCGAAAACAGTCTAGATGTCATCACCGTGACACCTGGGGCAAGATGGAGAGATTAAACATCCTAAAAATGACTCCAGGCTTTTCATGTTGAGGACATGACCTCAGAATTTCAAAAGTTCAGCTTTTTCTCCCGTGGTGGTCACTGGATCCGTCTCACCACCAGCTTGTCTTTTAGTGGTGTCCACCCCTGGTCTCTGATGACTATGATAGTTGTTTCCCAGCTTCATTCATCCAGGTAAATAGTCTGCAGTGATGCAGATGCTGCACTGGTCGGCTGTGGTGAAGATGAAGCTAAAAGCAAAGCTCTCAATTCACTGATAAGTCTTTGTCACAAATTGCATCAACGGCTGAAAGAACAAGATCATGAAAACAAGTGGTCAAAATGAGTTTCCTTTGCAGGATGGACAGGTTCAGCCTTAAAGATAGGGCGAGGAGCTCAGAGAAGAGCTGCTGCTCCTCATCACTGAGAGGAGCCAGCTGAGGTGGTTCAGGCATTTAGCCAGGATGCTACCTGGTGCTGGCAGGACCCCCAGTTTAACCCACAAGATTACATATATAGCCTGATCTGGGAATGCCTTGGGATCATACCAGTGGGTGTGGATGGAAGTTGCTGCAGAGAGGAGGATCTGGTCCTCTCTAGTGAGGCTGCAAACCTTGCAAAAAGTGTGCAACATCAAATGAACAATGATAATAAAACACAAATAAGTAAAAGATCATTGATAGCGTGTTGAATTAATGCATGTTGTTGTTGTTTTATTTTTTCTTTAAAAGATTTCAAATTAAAATAATTGTTTTATATTAGATCTTTGGTGACGGTGTGTCATTTTGACCCAGAGGACAAGGGGTGAGTAGAGGACAACAGTGAGGTTAAAACCACTTTAGAGATAAATTCTTTCAAAGGTGGGTTATAGCAGCTCACCATTTACAAACACGTGGGTTGCTACTGCAGTCTTGCCGTCTTCAACTTTCAGATCCTTGTAGGAACACCGATACAGTCCTGTTTCATTCACAGTGGCATTGGTGATTGTCAGCTTGGTGCAGAAAAGTCCCGATCCGCTGCAGTCGTTGGTGGAGAAGCGAGTGCTTATGGTAGGCGTGGTCCACCTGAGATGCTGGCGACCTCTGGCAGAAGAACACCCAGATTTAACCACACACTGAGCAAAGGGGGTCAGTGAGTGGATAGAACAGAGAGGAGCATCATACCTGCATGTTAGTTCCAGGTTGTCAGATTTGTTCAACCGCTGGGTGCCGTTTGTGTTTAGTGTGGGTGGATCAGGCATGAACCGCAGCTCGATGGCTGGAGGAATCAAGAGTCGTGTCAATAGCGCCAAAAGAATCAGATCAGAAGTGATGAGATCAGTTCAACAAACATGAAGTTGTTGCTTACAACAAAAGACACATTTTCAAAAAGGTAGAAACTTTAAGTAAACTGTTGAAAAAAACAAAAGGGATGTTTTCTTTGATCTGGGTCATTAAGCCGTTTGTTTTCCACTGCTATAAGCAGTGTGGAGCTGTGTCAAAACAGGAAGCAGGGGGAGATGGGCCGGGTCAGACTCAATAGAGCAGCACAGTGTGCACTAGGTGGAGGTTCCTGTTTCTGAGGATGCAGGCTGCCCACGGACTCCCTGTGAGGCCCTGAAGCACATCGTGTATTGTATGGAAAAAGAGCTCAGCCCATCAGGAAGACGGTGCGTACACATCTCTCACACCGCGCAGAGACCATCAAGCCCAGCTCCAACAGAAGATGTCCAGTTGTTGAGACTTCACTTTTGTTTTACTTCAAAGGATTGGAGATGCTGAATACATTTTACAACTCAGATTTAAGGATCTGAACGTTTAACTTTAATTAAAGGACATTTTCCAAACCTGAGCAGGGTCATTAATCCTGTAGCAGGTAATGTTAGCGCTCAACAGGAGAAACTATGTTAATTAATTAAACTAATTCAAAATAAAAATAAAAACTGCTGATTTTAAAAACAGAGACACTCAGATTTTATAAAATTGGTCTAATTTTGTGTGTGTGTGTGTGTGTGTGTGTGTGTGTGTGTGTGTGTGTGTGTGTGTGTGTGTGTGTGTGTGTGTGTGTGTGTGTGTGTGTGTGTTAGCTGTTGTGTTACAAAAGTCATATTAAATGAACATTATGTTAACAGCTTACCAGCAACACGTGTTATTTCCAGAAAAATGAGAAATATGACAGATACTGCCTGTGCCATCATCCAACAGAAGGGATGGAGTCCTCTTCAAAGTTTCATCCAAATTTTTATCGAAACTGTAAAAAAGATAAAGCCGTAAAACAATCCTACTGCCACATCATGGGTCTTGTATCCACCGGCAGGTTGTAGTCCACTTGAGAGAACGTTTGAGGCTCATGGGAGCAGCCAGCTTTAGATGTTGGTCAGCGGGAGAGAGGCGCGATCGTGTGACCCAACAGAGCTGATGGGGACGCAGAGACACACTCCAGCGAGCAGAGATCAGGAGGAGGGAGGAGCAACCAGCGACCGGCTTCTGGTCACTTCTGGTTCTGAGTGTTAAGAAGGCTAAACACTGGAAAATGTCCCAGCTCTAAAAGTTTACTGCGAGTCAGAATGCCGCGTTAATGTAAAGTATGTTAGCTCAAACTTAATTAGGCCTGCTGATGTGGTTCATTTATTTTACCTCTACTAGAAGTAGACATGGGCATCTCCTTTTCAAAGTCTTAGTCAACATGGGCCACCGTCAAGGCTGGATTATAATACGGGCAAAGTGGGCACAGGCCCAGGGGCCCCCAGCCATAAGGGGGCCCAGGCGAAGCAGTCTTTTTTTTTTCTTTTTTTTTTGTGCAGCAGTCTAACTTTGGAGAAACAAGTTGACAAGTAATTAAAATAGCGCCCACATGTTCTAAGTTAACACACATTTCTTTTAACAACAGTAGCTTTACTTTTCCCCAGCTGCTTCAGACCCCTTTGTCCTCCGGTGATGCATCTCACCGGTGCGGCCGGCGAGCAGCGAGCACTCCGCTGTTTTAGCGGTCGGTAGATCGTTTAGAACTGCAGTTCAAAGGTAACTCATGAGGTGAATATATATGAACCCAGGTAGCAGTTTCTCTTTAGGATTGAGAGGAGATGCAGGAAGATAATAAACAGGCAGGACAGAAAAATAGTCAAATAAAAACAAGTTAGTTTTTGTACCTGCTGGTTGCAACAAACAGACACCATTGAAGGTAATCAGAAGTGAGGAACAGAAAATGAAATAAAAATTTTAATGTTTAGAGCAGCAGGAACTCTGAGAGGCTGCAGGCGCATGAGTTTGCGTCTGCTGTGCAGGGGGAGGGGGGAGGGCTGAAGCAGGAACTACCGTTGTTAGATTAAATGTGTTTAACTTTGAAAATGTGGGCTCAATTTTAATTGTCAAAAACTCCAGCGAACAACCCCCCACCCCCCCACCCCGCCCACCACCACTACTCCATCTTCGTTACTTGATGGTTGACTTTTAAAAAAATTAAGTCATGCAGCCCTGAGGAGACAAGAGGAGGAAGGAGACAGGAGACAAGAAGAGGAAGGAAACAGGAGACATGCAGATATTTCATCTTTGCAAACTTTTCAATAACTGTACAATCTTTTAAATAATCCTGCATTATTTTCTGTTGTAGTGTGACAGTGGGATCTGTTTTACAGCAGACTCACTCGCCCCCACTGTCCCACAGATTGACAACATTTTTGTTATTACAGACAGAAGAGAAGGCAGGAGCGCTGTGAGGAAGAGAGAGACAGAAAAAGAGGAGAAAAGAGAGGACAGAGGAAGAAAGAACTATGAGTGAGGTACAACAGGAACATCATCAGGTATGAGTGTTTGTGATTAGGTTATAAAACTATTTGGAGGTAAATGCTTTTGTATCAGCATGAGTAAGCGATTTTTAATATTGACAATGTTATGACATGTCTAAAGAGCTTCTGGGTGACAGTAATGTTGGGGGAGGTGTGTGTGTGTGTGTGTGTGGGGGGGGGTCTAGTTCTCCTGACCCTACTGTGCTACTTTAGCTTTAGCTTAGCATAAAACACAGTAAGTGAATGGATCCAACTAGCATTGTGTGTAAAACCATCCTTAAAATCACTCAGTAGTGATCCCAGTTCTACTTGTGACCTAAGTATTCAGACTGACTGCAAGTGAAAATAATTAGCAACATAAAGGAATCACAGGCGCCATGTTAGACTTGGGACTATTTAATGACAGAGCGCAGATGTAAGCCTCCACTGAGAGGTGCAAATCAGCCCCAAAGCTGCTACGCAATGTGTGTGGTGATGTCATTCCCGTTGACTGGAATTGATAAGGGAATTGTTTGCAAAACTGGCAAATGATTCCTAGGAACGGGGGTAACCGTTTTTTTTTTTAGAAGAACCAGTTTTCGATCCCCACCCCCAGTCATAAAGTAGTCCCAAGTCTAACGTGGAGCCTGTGATTCCTTCATGTTACTTATTAGTTTCACAATCAGTCAGTCTGATTATTTAGGTCACCAAGCAGAATAGGATCACTATTGAGGGAATTCAAGGACGTTTTTACTCATAATGCTAGTTGGATCCATTCACTTTCTGTGTTTTATGCTAAGCTAAAGGGACAGGAGTACAGCCGGGTCAGGAGAATGACCGGGCTGGTTAAAAATGTTTTTTCTAACTTGTCTAACTCTGAGAGATATGTCAACAGACAAAATTTCAAGTTTGGGTGGAATTTCCCTTTAAAAACCTAGTTCAGATCCACATCTTGAACTATGTTGAAAACTAGTTTTAATCCGTAAACATAAAAAAAGAAAACAGTAAAATGTCAAAGAGATACTGGAGATACAACGATATACCCACTTTAGCTGTTCAGCAGCTAGATAGTTAATGCTTTACATGGGTTAACAAATGGTTTTTGAACTATATAATTAAGGTTTTTTTTGTTGTTGTTGTGGTGATCCTGGCAGAAAGAAGCCCTAACATGTAAGCCTGTTTAGTATACTTTCAGAAAAATAATTGGTCAAAACAAGTGCAATACTTATTTTAATTATATAACTTGAATAAATGATTTTTAAAAATTAAACACCTTATCATGTTTTTCTTTTGTGCCATTGTCGCTTTTGTTTGAAAAGCCCTTAACGCAGTTCAACTCCTTCAAAGGTTATAATAATTGAGTTTAGTAGATATTTTTTCTGTTGGGTCAGAGTAATAAGTTTAGAAAAAACGTTATCCTGATTTTTATTCTGTGTTTTTACAGCTTTAGCCTGCACTGCTTGGCAGGGGGACTATCAATGAAATCACACTTTGCTGGTAATAACTGGGGGTTTTTAATTATTGCTGTATTACGTAATGTTCCTGTTAAACAAATAAACATAAATGAAGACAACAAAACAAACAGAATCATTTTACCCTAACCCGTGTGTGAGCTGTCATGGAATAAAGGAATATCAGTCTTTTTCTGATGGTTACAGTTTTCACAGATGTTCAGACTGGCTTAGACGTGAAGACTGTGGTCATTCAGTGGATGGGAGGAGAGTTGATGTGTGTTTTCATTCTGGCACAGATTCAGGAGAGTGTGTCCACATGTTTCCTGGCCTAGTCACTTCTACAGGGACTCTGCAGGCTAACCTGCCTGCCCCACCACTAGCCATCACTTCCTGATGGACACCACACCAAGAGCTCCTCTGGAAAAAATACAAAGCAGAAACATTTTTCTATTTTGTTTATCTGCTTTTGTTCTCTTTTAGACTCTAAGGGGTGTCAAACTCACACTCACACGGGGCTGAAATGAAACTCTGGGACGGAGTCGAGGGCCAAACTTAATATTTTTGAAAAAGTGACGGCAAATTTGCACATTTTCTTTATCAACATGTATGCAGTTTTGAACCTTTAAATTTGGAAACAAACTTATTTCTGCATTAACACTGAATGTGGAATAACCAAATTACACACGAGCAAGTCCGTTTTAAATAAAAGGCATCAGTGGTATTCATTACTTGTGGTATAATCAGCATTTTTAAAATCTATTCAGGATTTATGTTTTCTTGTTTATTCATTTTTCTTATTTTTTATTCTCCTTTTTTCTCCTGTAATACGTGTCATCGCTGCTGTGACGTCTAGCTTTCCCCACTGAGGAACAATAAAGGGATTTTCTATTCTATTCATCTATCTGCAGCCTTTCCACTTCCTGTTTACTGTAGGTTAAATCTTTTCTCACGGGCCAACAACAACATAAAAATATCATTTTATCTTAAATGAAAATGCAACATCTCACCTGTTAACTTTCATGTTTTGGAGCAGAAAAAGAGCATAAAACCAACATATTTAAAGCTCAGTTTGCTCCACTGGTTTACTGTGATGCTCACCTGTTCCAGCCAGATACCTGCATCATGGGGTTGATCTGAACTGAGGAGGAGACTCCTGTTGTTTTGTTCATCTTCATCATAATAATGACAACATTAGATGACAACAGGTGCTCACATAGGTTTGTGCTGATGAACATGTCTGAGCAGCTTGACCACGTTGTTGTGTGTCGGGGAGGAAACACGACCACAGAGTCGTGCTGGTTTGAGCGTGTCGCTGCTCGCTGGAGTTATATCAGCTCTGTCTGGACGTTAGTTGGAAAACTTTCTCTTTCAGTCATGAACACATTACTGAGCGGCAAGAATCTCCGTTTCTGGGCTTCAACGTCAGAAAATAGCTGAGTGAACTCAGCCGAGTTGCAGACACCGGCAGCAGACGCTAGAAAAACACAAATGTGGGGGCGGTTCGGCTTGGCCGCAAAGCATCATGGGAGTTGTAGTCTTCCTTGTAAAATCGACCAGCAGGTCAGTTTTAATATATATTTTGATATTTATCTCACGGGCCACATAAAAATGCTCCCCGGACCACATCTGGCCCGCGGGCCTTGTATCTGACACACGTGCCTTAGAGGGTAAAAAGTAAGATATTTCAGTGGAAACCTCACGTTAAAGTATTAATGAAAAGTCTGAACGGGTTGAAAGAAAGAAAGAAAGAAAGAAAGAAAGAAAGAAAGAAAGAAAGAAAGAAAGAAAGAAAGAAAGAAAGAAAGAAAGAAAGAAAGAAAGAAAGAAAGAAAGAAAGAAAGAAAAAGAAAGAAAGAAAACAACATTTTATATATATTTCAAGATAAAAATCACGAGGCACTTCACAAAACCAAAAACAATTAAAGTATAAAAAATATTTTTTTAATTATTAAAAATATGTTTAAAATGAGAAAAAAATGTGAATTAAAAGAAAAATGTAAGGAAAGGGAGAGAGAAAACTAATAGGAAAGAGGAAAATCAGTGGATCCCGAGAAAGGCGGAACAAGAGCTGAACAAGGAGAGGGTGGTGATGAAGGTCCCACTAAAACCAGCTTGAACAAGTGAGTCTTCAGCTGCTTTTTAAATGAGACCACTGAGTCCACTGATCTCAGGCTCAGGGGGAGAGAGGTCCAGAGTCTGGGAGCCACAGCAGCAAATGATCTGTCACCTTTGGTCTTTAGCCTGGTGCTGCACAACCAGTAGACTTTGATCACTGGACCTCAGGGACCTGCTGGGGGTGTAGGGACTAAGAAGATCACCAATGTAAGATGGTGCTTGTCCATGTAAGGCCCTATAGACCAGAACCAGGATCTTGAAATGAACCCTGAAGTTGACTGGCAGCCAGTGAAGCTGGAGGAGAAGCGGGGTGATGTGGGTGTGTTTGGAGGACTTGGTCAGAAGCCGAGCACAGGCGTTCTGAACCACCTGTAGACGGTTCAGGGAGGTTCTGCTCAGACACGTGAAAAGAGAGTTACAGTAGTCTAAGCGTGAGGAGATGAAGGTGTGGAGAACTGCCTCAAGTTCAGAGCGGGACAGAATGGGACTCAGCTTAGCAACGTTCCTGAGATGGAAGAAGGAAGAGCCAACAAGAGAACTGACATGAGAATCCAGGGTGAGAGCTGGGTCTAAGGTCACACCAAGATTCCTGACAGAAGTTTTGGTGTGGGAAGCAAGCCGACCAAGAGAGTCTCTGACTTTGGGAACCAGCTTGTCTGGGGCACAGATGAGGATCTCAGTCTTATCTTCATTCAGCTGAAGAAAGCTCCCACCATCCAGGTTTTGATAGAGTCTAAGCAGGTGTGTAACAGCTGCAGCTTAGACATCTCATGGGGCTTAAACCTCTCAGGCTCAAAATAAGTTTAGATAAAAGAACGAACAACTAAGTCCTTCAGTGGTACTTCTGAGTTTAAAAAATGCTCATGAAATACGTATGTGGAGTAACCAGGTGGATAGGTTTTAATGCTGCAAATCTGCAACGCCTGCCTCCAGAGGGTTAAAGGAGATGTACAGTTGGATGTCATCTGCATAAAGATGGTAGGAGATTCAGAATGTGCTGAAGAGGAAGCAGACAGAGGAGGAAGAGTAGAGGCCCCAGCACAGAACCTTGTGGGACACCATGGGTGAGGAAGGTGGTGGAGGACCTAAACTTGGAGACGGCCACAGAAAAGGAGCACTCAGAAAGATAAGAGGAGAACCACTCCAGAGCAGTTCCTGATAGATCGCTTGAGTGAGTAGGTTTAAGCTCTCAGATCACAAGATGGTCTAAAACAGCTTATGGCCCTCAGATCATAGCAGGAACAATAACTGAAAAACAAATATGGAAAGAATCACCAGTTTTGCTCTGAAACACTGGAGTAGGCAGATACTGACAGAATCAATGAAATAGAACCGATCAGTTGTAGCACGAGAAGACAAATACAACATTCAGGTTTATACGAGGGTAGCTTTAAAAATGTCATCCTTACCAGTTATCTAGAATGACTGTTACAGGATAAACACACCTGAAACTCATAAAACAAACAAGTTCTGATCTTCAAAATCCAGCATTCAGAAATGTACAACTTCATTTTTCCAATAACATGTTTGAAAGTTTAAAAACACGTTGTGTCTAGTCTCAAGCCCTGAAACTAGACACAACGTGGAACTTTCCACATTTTCATCAGATAAATTATTCTGTCAAGGCTAAAAATCTTGGCAGGGCAGAAGAGGAGAATGGGGACAGAAATGGGACGGGACAGGAAGAACATCCACACTTCCTCAGACAGGATACTGGGCTCTTTCAGGAGGCATCCTGGAATCTGACGGCTCAAAGGCATTTTACCTCTGACATGCATCTTTTTGTCTTGTTTCAAACGAGCACGTTGTAGAGCGGGACACACTGTTGGAAACTACACTATAACAGTCCAAACTAATATAACTTTAACATGAGATGTGTGTGTCACACACCACCTCACTCATGAAGAAAAGATGCCTTGAACATTTTTGTGACTTTGAGGTAAATATTGCAGCTCATTTCAGAATCAGGATCACTTTATCTGATGAAACAAGCATGTGTATTGTGTGTACACACGTAGCTGGTGTTGTGGAGAAATGATGAATAGAATAGAAAAAGTAAATGTTAAGAGCAAACAAGTGTGTACCTTTATAAAGTGACAAATAAACACAAACGTATACATGTTGTAGACTCCCTCATACTTTGTGTAACATCTAACTAAAACTGCTTCTAATTAACTTTTAGAGATGGAAGTTTGCACTCAGTGTTGTGGGCCTTGGAGGACTGACATTTTGCAACAGGTCCCACTAGAGGTCATTGGTAGTGTGAGTCTTGATTGTGTACAGCAGTTTGGATTATACACTGAAGTGCTCCAAGCTGATGGGTGGCATAAGGATGAATCAGAAGATAGTTGCTGAGCGAGTTTATTGAATGGCTTACAGTCAAAAATAGCATCCTCTGTTATGCTTTCTTGGTAAAGGTGACTGATTTCCTCTAGCACTTCCTGGATTTGGTGAGTCCAAAGAAGAACTTAAAACTTAAAGCTGTTTTCATTACAGATGAAAACTATACATCGTAATATCTCATCGTTTAATCCTCTTCAAAGTGTCACAGTTGATGATTTTAGCTGTGAGCAGAAATAAATTTCTAAAGTGCTATATGTTATAGCTGCACATTATTATGAAATGGTCTCCTTCAGCTCTAGAAGCTCCAGAGGATGATAATCAGCTCTTGGAGGAGCTATCATCCGATCTCTGATCCATCATTACTTTTTTCTATAAGCTCTTTTGTATACAGCCAGAAAAAATGCACAAGGAAATTGGTGTGTTTTACCATTGACTGTATTTATGATTAATGGCATTTTACAGGTTTTCATGATGACTTTTCATTTATGGGTACTAACTAAACCACCTCATTTAATCGGTTTTAAAATTAGCAGGTGTCTGATAAAAAGATGTGTGTTATGTTGTAATGTTTAAATTTCAGCATTCTACAACCACTGAATGAAAAGTCATGTATTTTTGAGTTTTGGCCGTGACATCTTTGTTTCTGTTACTAGGGACTGATCCTGGTGGAACTTATTATTTCACGCTGAAGCTACAAAGAGAGAAGAGGTACACGTGCTGCCATCTGCTGCACATCCACAACAACAGCTTTGGTGCCGCTAACTTGACATTTTCAATAATCACATCCTAACCTAAAATTTATTTTTTCAATAGGAAATAAAATGCTCAGATGTATTAGAGTTTAAAAAATGAAATAAAATTCATACCAGGAACTAGTGTGAGAACGAAGGGCTCCACTAATCTGTTGTACAGCTTTTCACGAGTTCCCAGTGTAATCTAGCCTGCCTATTTATAAAAGAATATACTAATGTATACATTTGTTCATAATATTTTTTCTCTGCCAGAGAAATGAACACTTAAGGATAATTATGGTTCGCTTTCTTTCATCCGGAACTTTTATGCGGTTTCAACGATTTCCAGGGGCCCCTTTTCCGCGGTGCACAAAACAATGCTTGCGTTCAGAAATGCTTTGGAGGGAAAGCGACTTAAGTTTGATCGATTGTTTGTGGTCTTTTCTGGCTTTATGTTTTCTTGCTGCTTTCTGTTTTCATAAGACGCTGGCTCGCCCGCAGAAGGAACACGAAAAGTCTACTTTGTTTACATGTTTTCAGGATCTGATTAGATACGGAAAAACTAAACAAGCCCTGCACAGAGGCGACTGGCTGCGAGTGTTTGACGTGCCCAAAAGGTAACACACATGGGAACGGGGAAACGTTACTGTCAGTGCAAATATGGCGAATATTAAAAATGAATGCTGTTTTTCGAATGTTAACATAATTAGCTTACTTTCCTTCCAAAAATAGGTGGTTCTGGCACTTTTACCTCGTCTCTTTTTGCTGGAATGTTTTTCTTCTGGTGTTGTATTTGAACTCCACCTGTCGTCAGCAGCCGCTTCCATCGTGGCTGACTGGTATTCTAGACATGTTGACTGGTGTCGTCACCACAGACATCAAAGGTCAGCTTGTAGTTTCCTGCTGTGTTTCGGTGTTTTTCTGTGTGATTGTTGCTGATGTGAATGATGTCTCTAGTCCCACAGCTGTCCACTGTCCTGGTGCAGCTGCTGCTCTCCATCCACTCCCTCAGGAGGCTGCTGGAGTGTCTGTTTGTCAGTGTTTTTTCTGATGGGGTCATCCATTTGGTGCAGTATGTGTTTGGTTTGGGCTATTACATAGTGCTGGGATTGACGGTTCTCTGCTCAGATCACGGAGCCAAAGGTTAGATAGCCTCAAGGCCTTTCTGCATGCGTTATTCTTTAGGTTTGCTACGTGGTTTAAATGCTTTTCTTGTCATTTTTAGGTACTGGCTCTCTCATGTCCCAGCTGGATTGGATTCATGTGGTTGGATTTATCATTTACGTTGGGGCCTCACTGCTGCAGCATCGGTCCATGCTCCTTCTGGCCAGGCTTCGTACAGGAACATCTGGTACATATATCGGGTTTCTTCCCATGCTGATTGTGATTTTTTGGATCCCCTCACAAAATCCTAGTATCTTTTGCTAACAAATTACGTGTAAAAATGAATTAGAAATTCAATTGCAGTTAACAGGAATCATCTCAAAAACTGAAGAAATTGTGAACATCATCATTAGCCTAATGACATTCCCAGTAGTTTATATTTATTCTTGAATTTCAGCATTGCAATAAATTAAGAATTTTAAAGAGGAAATGTTCTCTGGGGATTAAAATAAGAATTTAAGAGATTTAAAGGAGGAAGAAAATCGTGTTAAAATGAGGAAACTGGTAAAAACAAAAGGGTTAGAAGTAATTTTCGCATTTCTAATCATATAGTGTAGTCTAAACTTTGTAAGGGAAAGGCACATGCTAGTGACCTTTGACCCCCAAAATGACACTGCATCTAGAGCCTTATATGCTATACTATCTACATATATTACACCCATGGATGTGTTATTGCCATTTCCAGTGCATGTTCAAATTCCTTCATACCGAAGCTCAAAGTTATTGTTGGCATGAAGAAGTGGGCGTGTTCTCTCACTCTGCTGTCTGATTTGCTGTTGGCAAGCTGGCTGGATGTATTTGACAAAAGGTTCACATTGAATACAACTTACTGGACCTACATTTACTTACTTTTATGCAGCTGTTTGAAAGACAATGTTAAGGAAAGTTTGCTTCATGTTTAAAACATGGCTTCAGGACTTTATTAGCTGTTAAAATTTGAATCCACCACTGCTCCCAACAAAACTAGTAAACGATCTCTTTTGCATTTCTTCATCAGTTTGTGATTTGCACACTTTCTGTTATTGTACCTGAACCAATTAATTATCGCATTTTCACAAGTTTTTTTTTATTTACTTCCCATTCCATGTAACTACTCAGTAATTATTTTCCCCACTGTATTTTATTTATGTTTCATTTTTATTTCTTACTGTGTGTATATATTCAATATTTTGAATCTTTAAGTATTTGGAATTCTTTCAGTATATCTGCATTGTGTCTTTTTTTGTTTGTTTGTTTACTCATTATTCTGTTTTTTTACTTTCCTTTTTGCTCCTGACAACAAAATGTCCCCACTGAGATTTTCTATTCTGTTCTACGTACTCATGACTGCTTGCTGTTTTCATTCTTGTCTTTTAGGGAAAGTGGAGACGCTGGCTCACAGGATGCCAACAGGAGGCTGGTTTGAGCTGGTTTCATGCCCACATTACTTTGCAGAGCTGCTGATCTACATTTCATTTAGCTTAGTTTTTGGTGGCCTCTCTCTGACCTGGTGGCTTGTGGTCCTTTATGTACTTTTCAACCAGGCGCTAGCAGGGCAGCTGTGTCATGAGCTTTATGTTAGCAAGTTCCACTCCTATCCAAAGCACAGAAAAGTAATTATACCCTTTGTGTTCTGAAACTTCTTGCTAGGTGTTTTGGTGAAAAGTTGACTTTTTTTTTTTCGAAAGATGTATTTTTAATGCTAATGAGACAAAATAGTCAAATAAAACTGTTAAATAGACAAATGGATGATAGTGATTGTTTACGTGAACAACATCAACACAGCAACAAGTGAGAGTTATTTGTCAGAGGCTTAAATGTGAGAACATAACAAGAAATCTCACGTGTGTTTTTAAGCCACTGTAACGTCCAGAAATGGTCAGTTTTCACCTACAGATGGACCTACATGCCACCGGTCATCTGCAGACATAAATCCCATTTTCTAAGGTGGATTTTACATCCTATCTTCCGACAAGCCCAGAAGATTCTGCAGCTCTGAACACATGAGAACACGTTGTCAACAAACTTCTCGTTTCAAGGCCTAAGCTTCACTTATCGCTTCTACAGGATTCCTCATGCCTCTGAATAAAGTGAACACTTTTACAACTCATAAGTTAAATAATCATTAAATAATAATATGGTTGAATGAACAAATGTTATATGAATACTAATGAAATGTTTTGATTCATCTGTGCTTAAATTACTGTGATTGAAATGAATATTTTTAAGGTATGATCAGTAAATTTAGATTTAACAAGTGAATAATAATAATAATACATTTTATTTAAAAGTGCCTTTCTGGACACTCAAGGACACTGTACAGAATAAAAACACAAAGCATTCAGTAAGTAAACATACGTAAACAAGGCACTCTAAAATTCAAAGCTGGTATGTGGTTATGAAGAGGTGAGTTTGGAGTTGTTTTTTTAATTCTGTGAATGAGTTAATGTTCTTGATGAGAGGGTGAAGGGAGTTCCAGAGTTTGGGAGCGGAGCAGCTGAAGGCTCTACTCCCCATGGTGCTGAGACGGAAGGAGGGCACAGAGAGATGAATGGAGGAGGAGGACCTTAGGGAACGGGACGAGGTGACGATGTGAACGAGATCTGTGAGGTGGTGAGGGGCGAGGTTATGGATGGCCTTGAAGGTGAGAAGGAGAATCTTGTAGTTAATCCTGGTGTGCACTGGTAGCCAATGGAGTTGTTTGAGGATGGGGGTGATGTGATGAGAGATGGGAGTTTTAGTGACGATGCGTGCTGCTGCATTCTGAACCAACTGGAGCTTACGGAGGGTTTTCTGAGGGAGGTCTGAGAGAAGAGAGCTGCAGTAATCGATACGTGATGTAACCAGAATATGGACAAGAATAGAAGCAGAGTGGACGGTAAGGGAGGGGCGAAGACGATTAATGTTACGAAGATGGAAATAAGCTGACCGTGTGATGCTATTGATATGAGATTGGAAGGATAGTGTGCTGTCTAGGATGACACCCAGACTCTTGACCTGGGGAGAGGGGGAAACTGAAGTATTATCAACTGTGAGAGAGAAACTGTCAAATTTTGAGCGGGTGTTCTTGGTACCAACCAAAAGAAGTTCTGTTTTGTCTGTATTTAATTTCAGAAAGTTCGAACTGAACCAGGATTTTATTTCTTGAAGGCAGGTGATGAGGGAGGAAGAGCAGAATTTGGCTTACTGGACAAATAGAGCTGGGTGTCATTCGCAAAGCAGTGAAAATGAATATTGAATATGCGGAAGATATTGCCAAGGGGAAGGATGTATGTAATGAAAAGGAGGGGCCCAGGACAGAGCCCTGGGGCACACCAGAAGAGGGCTGTGAGCGGGAGGATTTGATAGTGATGAACTGAGTGCGACCTGATAGGTAGGACTGAAACCACTGAAGTGGGATGTTAGCAATGCCGAAAGTGAATCATACACAATGTTCATAACATATAAGTTAAAGTAACGTCACTGCACATAGATATTTTCTTACCCACAAATCGGAGCATCCTGTATCTGAAAGAAGGCGTGACGTTCTGAGGGTTTGTTTGTTAACACCCCTTAACATGGCATGTCCCGATTGGCCAAGTAAATCATAATATGAGAATATTAAAACAGAATCACTGGGGAGTGATTCATCATTCCGTGAGACTCAGCATTCTGTTAGTTGAGCTAACTCTGACTGGCCATCGGAGGAAACTCTATAACCACCGCATCTCTTGAGAAGCTTTCTACAAGCTAAAAGCTGCCTACAGCTGACACAGCAAAACGGTTCCTTCAGCTAATCAGAGACAGCTGCTCTAGACGCAAACTAGTTCCAACCTGTGAGCCTGGCGACATCTCTGGACGGGAGCGTCGGTGCTGCGGTTAATCTACTGAACCTCGGTGCCCAGAGGTCATCCGACCTCCGGATCCACGAAAAGGGTCTCCAACGAAAGGGTGAGGTAGACGGCATGATTGCGTCTGATGCCGTTTTGATAAGAACCAACTTCATAGTTTAATGCAAACCAAATTCTTTTCACGCCCAGAACTCCGTTCTTCTAGATACAAGGTTCTGATAAACACACATTCACCACACATCCCATCCCATCCACTTACATTCATCCATCACAGTAGTCTTAGTTAACTTGTCACGTTTTTAATTGTTTAGAAAATAAATTCTTACTTTTTATAAACCTGACTGTCTGAATTGATATGAAGTGTGTGTGTGATCCCTGAAAAAGCAAAGAATCCTAGAATGTTCTGATTAAACATCCAAAGACCAGGCAGGTTGGTATCCTATATTTATATAGACTATCACATCTTATTGATCATAAGGAAAGGTAATACACTGAGCTTAAAAGCAACAACATTTACCCTCTACACCACATTTAAGTTGAGATCACATTTCTTCTGCTAATAAAACTTTGGTGTAAATGGATTGCCTTTTTTTTTTTTTTTTTTTTTTTTTTTTGCTTTAAGAAGAAACAAGTGAAAGGTAAAAATCAGCAGCTTCCTCCAACATCCCTGTAAACTCAAGCTAACAGAGACCTAAATCCTGAACAGTTTCAAAGCATCAATTCTGGATTTGATGTTCAATGCCAAAGTTTGATTCTTGTAAAACAATCATCCAAAATCCATGATAAAAAATGTCTGATGGCTCCTCACACAGCTTCTAAACTTGGAGCTAGGATATTTTTTCTTTTAAATCACACCAAAATATAAAATCGAGTTCTGAGGAGGCTTAGTTTTCTGACTAACTTGAAGAATGTGATTATGGATGTAAAAACATACATATAAGATCTGCTCATTTAGTGGTCCTTGTTTCTGGTTCACTACCATGCATAAAATCATGTTTCTGCATTAATACACCTGATTTAAGGCTGAGTTATTAGTTCAGTCTATCCTCAAGTTCTACAGAACCTAGTTAATCACCCATTCATTCAAATCAGGTGCTAAAAAAGAAAAATGTCTAATTCATGTACTTGCCCTACATATACTGTGTTATTACTGCTGGGAATTAGTACTAAGCTATAGTGAGTTCGTGGACAAGGGACAATGTTAGGTAGGTTGCTTGTTTAGATATAGATGGATGGTTGGTTATTTAGATCAGTGTTTCCCAACCCTGGTCCTCACGGCACACTGGCCTGCATGTCTATGTCTCTGCTTCAGCACACCTGATTTACACTGGCTCCTCAGGAGGACATCAAGTGCTGCAGATGCCTGTTAATATCTCATTTTTTAGGTCAGATGTGGCAGCAGGGGAACACTGGTGTTTAAAAGGGCAACATGGAAATCATGCAGGAGAGTGAGCCTTGAGGAGCAGGGTTGGGATGGATGGATAGAGTTGCTGGTTGGTTGGTTGGTTGGTTTTGTGATAGTTTAAAAAAGTTCAAGTTTCATATGAAATATTGGGATATTACAATGACCACAATGTTCTTTGGTGCATCTTTCCAAAGTGTTATTTCCTAATGTTTGTATTGTGTGTATTGCACCATATGTATAGAATGTGTTATTCTGGGTCTAATAGGACGTCTGGATTTCACGAGGTTACATTCAGGGCTGATGTCATGTAAACTCATCCCCACTAAGTCTTTACACACCTTGAAATCAACACCTACAACAGAAAGCTGATCATTTCTTTTTCTTTTAGAACAGACTTGTAATCTGAGCTTTCTGGGCCAGAGTGTCACCTGATATGAATCTTTGGTTCACTGCCTGTTCCTCTGAGGCTCTCATACCAGACTCCAGTAGCGTGAAATGGCAGTGAAACAACATGTAAAATAGAAAATCCTGCCATCAAAGTTCTACATGAGATTATTAACAAAGCAAATGACATTACTGATATCCTGACTGGCATCAGGGTTGTGTGCCAAACCCATACCTACACAGTGATGTGACGGCTACCGGCCTGGCCAGTGGGATGCAGGAGCCAGGATCACCCGGCCCTGGTGATCAGCCTGACACCGCTCCTCCTCTCCCAGGCTGCTGAGGAGCACAGCTGAGCTGAATCCTGCTGATGACCCACACCTGGGATAAAAAGGCTGTGCCTTCAGCCGTCTGGGAGGCAGCAGTGCAGCGGTTCTGCTGTCCTCCACGCCTCGCTCTGGTTTTAACTTTAATAGTTTTAACTCTGAGTGATCCAAACGGATCTTTGTTTGATGTCGACTCGGTTGACTCTGTTTTAAGGTTAACATCGTAGTTTACCGACTTTGGGATTTTAAAACACGGTTTTTGTAGCGCGTCGGTTTTTATCGTCAACTTGAGTTTTTTTAAAGCACTTTCTGTTTTGGTAAAACTTTAACAAAGTTTTAACCAGGTGTTTTAATGTTGATAATTCGCCCTTTAAATGTTAACCTTTTAGTCTTTTTATGTTTGGCATTATTTTAATAATGCTCTGTTTGCACTTGCTTTTAGAATATTTTATAACAATTAAACCCATTTTAACTCCCCTGTCACATTTCGTATGTTGCCCCCTCCTCACATTTTAACACCTCCTGACGGAGACATAACAGCACACCTTCAACCCTGGTTCTCTACAGCCCCTATCCAACATGTTTGAGTTTTTCCCTTTCACCAACACGTCTGATTTTAATCAGTTTGTGAGTAACAGGTTTCTGTAAGCCCTGATGACGCGTTGAACATGTGATTTAACCACTGAGTCAGGTGTGTTGGTGCAGGGAGCATACTGGATAGGGGCCAGGGTTTGGCCCTGATCATCTACCCAGTACAAAGTACAGAGGAAAGGGGTTGGTTGTTACATTATTTACTATAATTTATATTCAAAAACAATGTTATACTTAGTTGATCCCTTTTCAGTGTGTAATGGACGCTTAGAGTGTCTGGTCAGAATAAAGCAAACCATGTCCTTCTCAAGAGGTATTTGTTCAAAAGGTGCAACGCCTAATACTACTTGTGTATTTGTTACAATCTAATGGTGAGGCAGACTGCACAACAATGTCAATCTACCTACCTTTTAATTCACCCTGCTGCACTTTTAGGCAAATTATTTCAGTTGTTTTAGATATCTTTTAAAGTGATCTGAACTTTTTTCTGAGTCTCATTTTCAGAGATATTCAGTGGCTGTGCTGGTACAGTCCTTGTCCAAGTCATGTGCTGGACCCAGGTCTCATTAGAACAGCTCCACAAACACCAAACACAGACTTGTGTATGTCTGCAGAAAACTAGAGAACCTATGTGCCCCTGCTATTTCTGTCTCATAATCTCTCAAGAAACATTTAGCCAGTCCAGTTGTATTGTTTCATTTGTTTCTTCAGCATGCTTTCTGACTGACACTGCTGCAAAAATAACAGGTATTACTATTCCCACGTCCAGTTTCAAATGAAGTCAACAGCAAATCTATCACATGCTTCACAAGATTTCACTTGCCTGCTCAGAGAAAATCTTTCCCTGGCTTCTGCCCTTAAAATGCAGGAGGGCCCACTTTGGAAAAAGTCCCATAAAATCCCTAAACAGGAGAATGTGCTGAATAGGAATACATTTGTTTAACAGATGGTGATTCTGCAGAGTAAATTTAGAGAGAACCAAAGTTGCTTGCTGTCTCTATTTGTGTTGAACAAATGCAGTGACTAAAAACTTCTATTGGGGCAATAAAAGTCTGATCTAATTACCAAGCATTTTCTAAACCAATGACATGTCTGCACAAAACCAAAACAATACTAAACATTACCTTTTTAGACACTGCCTGGCTAAAAAAACTTTGCACACTCTGATATTTTGTTGGACCACCACCAGCTTTGATTACACACACATTCGCTGTTGCATTGTTTCAGTAAGCTTCTGCAACGTCACAAGATCTATTTCCATCCAGTATTGCATTCATGTTTCACCAAGATCTGCACGGATGATGGTAGAGTGTGACTGCAGCACAAAGCTTTCTCCAGCACATACCAAAGATTCTCAATGGGGTTAAGGTCTGGACTCTGTGGTGGCCAATCCATGTGTGAAAATGATGTTCATGCTCCCAGAACCACTCTTCCACTATCTGAGCCTGATGAGTCCTGGCATTGTCATCTTGGAATATGCCCGTGTCATCAGCGAAGATGGAATAACCCGGTCATTCAGGATATTCAGGTAGTCAGCTGACCTCATTCTTGGAGCACATCCTGTTGCTGAACCTAGACCTGACCAACTGCAGCAAGCCCAGATCATAGCCCTGCCTCCACAGGCTTGTACAGTAGGCACTGGGCATGATGGGCGCATCACTTCATCTGCACCATCACTCTGGACCAGGGTCCATCTGGACTCATCAGACCAGTTTTTAATAATGCGTAGGACAGTTCTTAACCCAGTTTTAGTCGTTTCTGCATCTTAGATGTTTTCGCTGCTTGATGCATGCCAATGATCTGACCCTTCTCTAACAGATCTTTTCCACGACCACCAGATGTGTCTTTCCACATAGTTAAGAAATGAGAAGCAACTCATTGGAGCAGTTGGGGTTAAATAACTTGTTACCTGCTAAAAGATAATCAGTCATGCAGAAATTATCCATTAAGAGGCTCGTATCTATTTTCTTAGTTAAATCCAGGTGGTGACTGTTGTTTTTGGGCCAGGCAATGAATATCTTTCATCTGTTTGGTTCCAAACAAGCAGCTACGATAGCTAATGACCAGCTTATTTTCACAGATTCTAAAACAACCATAATCACAACAACAACAAAATGCATGCTTAGCGTTGAACCATTTTACATTTAATAGTCCAAACGTATAAATTCATTGGTTGTCAGTGAGTAACAATGTTCAGGAAATTCTGGTTTTTGCTATTTCAAAGTCAAAAGTCAAAGTCAGTTTAATTGTCACTTCTGCCACATGTACAGGACATACAGAGAAATGAAACTACGTTACTCTCAAACTCTCGCTAGATAGAAAATAAACATTTAGTATAAAAACAGTAACCAAGTTCAGAGAGACTGTGGGGGAAAAGAGAGGAGAGCCGGGAGGAGTTTAGCTTCCTAACTGCCTGGTGGATAAAGCCGTCCTTCAGTCTGTTGGTCCTGGCCTTGAGACTCTGCAGTCTCCTCCCTGACGGCAGCAGCTCGAAGAGGCTTTGCATCGGGTGAGTGGGATAAGCCGCAATGCGAAGGGCCTTTTTTGGGAGGCGGGTGCTGTAAATGTCTGGTAGGGAGGGGAGAGGGACCCCAATGACATTCTCTGCTGCTCTCACTATACGTTGGAGGGTTTTAATGCATGAAACGTTGCAGGCGCCGAACCACACAGTGATGCCGCACGACAGGATGCTCTATTTACATAGCTTTAACTCTGTTACATGCCAGGCTCAAGCTTTTATTAAAGCGCTTTTCTTTGAACGTAGGATGATCCAGCGATTTTTTTTGAGGATGACAGAAGTTAAGTCGAAGGTGTTGATTTAAGGCCCCAAATTCTCCAGATCTCAACAAGTCTGTCATCACCTGGACAGGCGAGTCTGTAGTGACCTTACTTCTCAACTTACTTGATCTCTTGTAGACAACTCAGCACATTATAGCACAGTGCAATGTGGGTCTAGCTGAGTAGTGATAACATAATCTAATGATCAGAACATTTCTTATCTTTTTTGTTGGCAGGAGGCACCGTTTAATGTTAGCTTCAGTAAAGTTGACAAGATAATGGTGCCAATTTGCTCAGTTGTTTCATTATTTTTTGAGAGCATACTAAACTCTTTTTGCTTGTCAATCAAATTTCCAAAACATTTAAATGAACTTGATTGAAATAAAGTTGACCAATCAGTGAGCTGCTCTGTAAACGCGTCATCCTTCAGATGTCCAATAGTCGGCCTGCTTTGTCGGTTAATGCGGCAGCGACGTTTTTATAACTTCCCTCTCGACTTGGCTCACTTGGCGTGATCGTGACGTGTACTAGCGAGGACTTTGTTGGAGTTATAGTTTATCGATGTGAAGTTGGTCGCTTCGTTAACACCGATATGGTGTGAGTGACAGAGGAGAAAACAGTCGCGTTGCCCCGGTTCCGGTAGCAGAAATGCCTCTTATGATGGGAAGGGAAGGTGGACGGGCTAACCGAAATCTAATGTTTCCGGTCTTCGCCGTGTTCTTTTTTTCGGTCGGCGTCGCTGCCGTTCAGGAAGAAGTTCAGAAATCGGTACAGGAGCTGCCCCAGCAAGAGGTAACTCGTTTTACTTGATCTTTGTCAGCTGTGTGTCGATGCCGTGTGTTTAAAAACGATCTTTACCGCCGCTAGCGCCGCCAAGCTAGCTATGCTAACAGACTCACCGCTCATTAACCGTTCCGGGTGCAAGGTTTCCTTCATCTAGTCACGTTTACTTCTTTCTTTTCCAAATGGCTGTTAGTCACGTTTAATGTAAGGAGACACAAGGTTGCGTATGTTCGTTTCACACACACACACACACACACACAGTGGTTGCTTTTTTCACAATTTCAGTCATGTTCACGTGACCCCAATTACAGAAGCATCGGTCCAACGAGGTTCAGATGTGTCCAGACTCACTTCGTAACTCGGCTGTTGTGATTTTTTTTTATTTACAGAAATTGTCAAGTCCTCATCCAGTAGGTCCAGTTACTTCTGAAGATGCCTCCATCAAAGAGAACCTGGGCTTCATTCATGCCTTTGTGGCCTCTTTCTCCGTCATCATCGTCTCTGAGCTGGGAGACAAGACGTTTTTCATCGCAGCCATCATGGCCATGCGCTACAACCGCCTCACCGTGCTGGCTGGGGCTATGCTGGCTTTAGGAATCATGACTTGTCTGTCAGGTTTGTATTCAACTCTGTTTTCCCTTGACAAGCTTAGTCCACCATCACTTACAGCGTAATTAACCCTTTGCTGTTTTCATCCTCCAGTACTGTTTGGTTATGCCACCACAATCATCCCTCGAATCTACACCTACTATGTATCCACCGCTCTGTTTGCCATTTTTGGTTTACGGATGCTGAGAGAGGGGCTGAAAATGAGTCCAGACGAAGGGCAGGAGGAGCTGGAGGAGGTGCAAGCAGAGATCAAGAAGAAGGACGAAGAAGTAAGCTAAACACACTTAGATTGCACAGATGTGTGTGTGTGTGTGTGTGTGTGTGTGTGTGTGTAAAGAGGCTTTCCATAAATTTGGCCTGGAAGAGCGTCTCCTCTGAAAGGCACACTTCGCTACCGCTGCCAGTACAACATATAATCTTATATTTTCTCAGCTCACCTAAGAGTGAGAAGAAGTGGTAGAATAATATAAAACAATTGGAGAAAGCTTGTAGAAGGAAGCAGTAAAGAACAAAGAGTTCAGATTCCTTTGATTACAACCAGTTCCCGACACAGACAAGCAAGCAGTTGAACTGAAGTCTGATTTGATGTAATCTAGTTTTACAATATGTGATAAAGCAGACGTAGTTGAGAAGTGCTTCTACACGATACATTTCTGTTGTCTGTACGCACACACACACACACACACACACACACTGATAAAAGGTTCCAGTCCAAGAACATCCTGCCCTACAAAAATGAAAAAGGGAAATAAGAATACGACCGTGTCGTCCCAGAAAAAGCACTTGTACACAGTGGGTTGTGTATTGAAATAGAATGATGAATATCTTTTTGTTTGTTGCCTGATTTTATTTTATTTTTTTTGCTAGTTAATGTGTGTTTTTGAATTTTACTGACTGGTTTTCACAAATTTAACATGTTTCCTCTTCTCCACTACCTGGACGCTCTTTGTCTGAGCACTTTTAGATTTGTTGATGATGTTGAACTTTCAGGTTTTTGGTGCAACGTCAACACAAAACCACGACGCTTGCAGAAGTTCTTTTTGACACTTTCAATGAAATCCAAAACTAACAATGCAGGGATAAAATACGGGTTTTAAAAATCCCTCTGTGTGTGCGTGCGTGTGCGTGTGTGTGTGTGTGTAGCTGCAGCGGTCTAAGCTGATTAATGGCACTCCAGATGTGGAGGCTGGAGCAGGAGTAACACTACCTCAGTCCAAGTGGCACAGCTTCATCTCGCCCATCTTTGTCCAAGCCTTCACTCTCTCCTTCCTCGCTGAGTGGGGGGACCGCTCACAGCTGACCACCATTATTCTAGCCGCTCGAGAGGTTTGTGTAGTTATTGCACTAGTTGAAAAATGCACCGTTTATTTTTTGTTGCTGTAAATGTTTTCCATGTTTTTTATACTTAGAACCCCTTTGGAGTTGCGGTGGGTGGCACAGTTGGACACTGTCTGTGTACAGGGCTGGCTGTGATAGGAGGAAGAATGATCGCCCAGAAAATATCTGTGAGAACAGGTGAGATGTTCTAATGTCAAGTTGGATCTGATCAGGAATTTGGTTGTTAGAAACATGCACGTGTCAAAACTTCAATACTGTTCCCAGCCTAGGAAGCTTTTAGTAACCGTTGTGAAAACATGAGGCAAAGTAATTAACTGGTGATGTACAAACCGTTCATGGGCACATCCAAAAAAGCCAGATGTATCTGCAAAGATTAGCCACTGATTGGTCCATGAATAGAAGTATCTTTGTGGATTAATATGAAATGACTCATTTTGGCAGCCTGGGAATAACGAGCTCATTCATGCCTCTGTTTTTTCTACTTTCTGGAATATTTAGAGATGGTTGCCGTTTGAAAACAGGCACATAAAACTATTAAGTCTAAAAACTCCTATTAATACAACTCTGCTGTGGCAACATGTTACTGTGAGCCTCCGTGTGAGGCTCGAGGATTACATTTGTTATAAATGTCTCCTTTCATTATCTTTTTAGGAAAGTCGTATAGCTTGAACGGGCCAAAGCAGCAAAAAAAAGCCAAGTATTTTTTGTTCTGGTCTCAGAGATTGCCTCGTTATCATGTGCATAAAAATGATAAAATGAGATTACTTCAGGAATAAATCCTATTTAGATTGTAGTTGGCCAAGGACGCAGCCTTTTTCATGCTGGTTTGTTCTTGCATCTGATCCTGGACGGACTAGAGCAGCAGCTTCAGTAATGGCAGGATTTTCTTCTGAGTAGTTACAGCGTATACCTCTGTTGTTGGTTTGGAGTTGTGTTATTGGCTCATAACTTCCATTCTGCTCTATTTACATCCAAGATAGCTTAGTGGTAAATGCACATCAAAGGCTGAATGTGGAACAATTTAGTAAAAAGCTTTATTTAAAGAGCAAGTCACCCCCTACTAGATTCTTACTCAACTCCCACTTCCTGTTTGAAAAATGCAACAAAAGCTGTTGCCTAGCAGACCGAAAGGGCGGAGCCTCTAACAAATACACACACACAGGCTCACAATGACATTGTGACATCATATGGTACCAGCTAACGTTCTAGGGTACCTCTTAGCCAATAGCGATGGCAGATTTAAATTCAAATGCAGAGTTTTTACCTGACGACGGCACAACGCTGACAGTTTTAGGCAGAAAATTAACATTTTAACTAAAATGCACTAAAGTGCAAAACTATTGACGACACGTGTCTGCAGCCCGATTAGACACACATTTATATAGTTTATCAGAAAAAAAGTTGATTTGGGGGTGACTTGCTCTTGAAAATAATATGTAAATAATAGGTGTGCAGAATGAAGCTACAGTGTTTTCTTTAAGCTATGGCGGAGGAAGTTTCTGAATTTCAGGAAAGAACCGCCCTCTCCACGTTTTGAAAAACTGTGCAGGAGAGAGAACGCCTGGTTATCCTCGTGCACACTCTGTTTACAAGTAGCTGCCGGCCTTGCAGCTAACTTCTTCTAGCAGTGATCTGAAATGAATTTCTCCAAGTAGCATGCTGAACTTTAGCTTACCTGTCGAGCAGAAAACCAGCGACAGGCGTCCGTGGGGAGCCCAACATTTGCTTCATGCATGCAGGAAGTGAAGGCTACCCATCAACGAGCACGTATGACAACGGCCTTGTGCGAATGGTTCACCAGAATGATTGACAGTTACGCTGACCAATGATTCAGATGATCCACCCGTAAGAAAAAGATCATCCGCTATACCTTTAAAACCTATAAGTTCATTAAAAAGTAATCAAATGTTTCATTAGATTGGCACCACACAGGTTTATGTTTACATCTACCAGCCAGTAGAGGGCACCATTCTCTGTTGCCAAACAGTCCACTCAGCACAGAGACGCTGGCACTGTGGAAAATGGTGGACTCAGTCAAGCCGCTGCTTCTGAGCCCAGAAGATGTTCTCCTTCTCCGAAGAGGAGCGAACATAAAAGATCTAAGACCGGAGTGAGTTCAGGTGGAGCCTACGACAGGTGGACACAAATAAAATATGTCAGATTTCACGTATCGACGGCGAACCTGGAAACCTTGTTCCATCGTTGCAGCTACAACCTCCACACACTAGATGTTGTTTTGGTGTTCGTGTTCCATACTCCAGCTTTTGTCCTGCCTTGAAGACTCGAGTAGACAACTTACAACCTATAATTTGTCTTGTTAGTAGCTGGTGTTTGGATGGACTTCTGTATAAGTCTTAAATAACTACTTTCTCACCAGCTGTAGATGGTAAATATTTTCACTTAATCTGTGATGATGTATTAGAGATGTTTATTATTCTTTTCTTTTGTTCGTTTCCATAGTTACGATCATCGGAGGGATCGTGTTTCTGGCGTTTGCCTTGTCTGCCCTGGTCATGAAGCCTGAAACTGGATTGTAACTGGGAGGAAATGGACTCCACCTCACTGTAAATAAGTGTCCAGTTAGATAGTTTTGAGCCAAGTTTCCATCAGCACAAAGTTTTACCTGTTCTCCCAGTCTGCCTTTGGTCCTCTGACGTCTGTGAATCTGTGAGCATTCTCACAAAGATTAAGATAGAGATGAGTACATTTCCCTAGGATCTTAACGTGTACACATCACAGCTTGTAAGAGGTGTAGGTTTGTGCGTCACTGATGAGCTCTGAGAGCGGCCTGGGTTCACCTGTGCTCTCATTGACACTGGACCGATGGCTACCAGTCGAACACCTCTGAACCTGGCTGTGGTGCGTTTGGCTCTCAGCACACCCAGTGTGCAGTCTGTTCACGCAGAAGATGCGTTTTTATTTTGATGTGATTTTTTGTCTCGTTACATCGGGGTTATGTTTGATGTTGTGATGAAACGGCTGCTGAGGAGATGCTGTAGTTCACACCAACAGGTGATGGTTTTAGTGGACCAGCAGCGGTCCGCAGTGCCGTCTTCCACATCAGCGTGTTACTGGCTTGGCTCACTGGGGGCCCAAGCTGTGACAAATACAATGATGTTACCTTGAGTGGGAAAACCAATACCAAAGCTGCATCACACCATGTAATGGAAAAGCATAATTATCCTGTCAAAACATCGTGTTTTCTTTTGTTGCTTTTAAATATTAGATGATAGTTTAATGGTTAATTTACACACTGGTTTGAGCAGCTGTTGGTGGGATACAACTGCACAAGTAATTTTTTTTTTTGCTTTGAAAATTCAGTTTCCCTGAAATGTAGAGCAAGCACTACAGGCAGTTCTTATATAAAGTTCTGTTTTATCATAGTTCTAGTTTGTTTTTAGGAGGACAAACCAGTCAGGCACTGGTTCAGCGTTCATAGCTGAGGTGTCTTTGTTCTCAGAGTGGTGTAAGCTTTAAACAGACCAGCTGCCTCCTCCCCAGATCGAGTCACTACGCAGTGACGAGTTGGTTATTTCTGCTCTGAAACGTTTGCTGTCAAGTCGGATATGAGCGACATCAGTGGGTACATCAACACGAGATCATTAGTTGTAGCTGCCTCAGCACTGTAACTCAAACCTCTTTAACTCCTTTTATGTAACGAGTGTCCCTATTTATTTAGCTTCCTTTTCTGTTAGGTGTGTGTACTGTAGACTGGAAGCGTGGGAGAGGCTGCTGGAAGTGAGGGATGCGTGTGTTTTAAACTGGATGGAACGGGCTAAAGCTGCATTGTCAATATTTGACTACCCAACTGTAAAATACATCCATTTCTTCAGGTTTGTTGAAATGTCTATAAACACAATAAAAGGTCTTTTTTTAATTGTATTTTTTTTACATCATTTCATTTGAACTGAGGCGAACACTACGTTGTCCAGCTGTCCACACATTTAAGTAAACAGATTTCTGACGCTCCGGAGCAAACGAAGGGTCGGCCAAGTGTCCTGTAGGAAAGGTTGATGCAAAAGACAACACGCTAACTTAATGTGCTTTAGGTTTCCTTTAAAAGCCCAACCTCACACGTACTTAACTGACAAACAGAAGGAACTTTAAGTAACTATAGCCGATTACATGCTGTCTGTAACTTATATGTACCTCGAGATGGTCAGCAGGTGGCAGTAGAGGATTCTGAAGAATAAACGTATGGGGAAAGAAAACCTTTGTTTTGACCCAACAGGGCGGTTTATTACAACTCAAAACACAGTAAATCTGAGTTCAGGGGTGAGAATAGTGGGAGGGTTTCATGTTGGAATGCGTCCCTAACCCTTGGTAAATTAAAAGAAGACAGATTGTTAGATTAATAAACGTTTAAGCTGAGACATCGTTCACTTTGCTCCTGCAGGAAACCGGCTGCAGGAAAACTGGAAATGAACAGTTATCTCCTTGAATACATTTAAAACCAGACTGAGAACACTTGAGATGGATTCCTTGTGTTGGAACTGCCTTCTCTCATTTTGGACAGAACATTTCTCAGTCATACAGACGTGCTGCGACCGTATCTTTCGCTGCCTCTTGGCCCGGACTCCACTGAAAATGAGGATTTTAATCTCATTGGGACCTTCCTGGTTAAATAAAGAATAAATCAGACAGACTGAGTCAGAACTAAACAGAGAATCAGGACTTCACTGCTGGGTTCCCCTGATAAGACCTCTACTTTAGGCCGACGCCTCTTCAAGGCCCCGTTAGTCGACGGACCGTCATGCAAAGGAGAAACTCCGTTGATGAGCACTCTGGTAGAAGATACCGTTCTCCTTCAGAAAAGATTGAAGGGACGATGTTTGTTTTTAAACGTTTATAAATTTAGAGCCAAATTCCTTTAGACACTGTAGATTAACATGAGCTAGAATAAATGTCACGTAAAATGCCACAAAGGGAATCTTTTAGTTGCTTTTAGCTTAATCTGGGTAGGTTTTTAATTTTTACACAATAGTTGCCAACTTCACCATTTGGATTTTAAAAAGCTTAAAAATACATGAAAAATGTCCCCATCAGTTTAACAGTTTTAGTAAAATATGTGGAATAAAAATAAAGATCGGGGAATAAAAAACTTAACTGACAACCGAACAGCATCGACGCCGTCACAAACCGATTCCTCTGACAACAGGAAGTTGGGAAAAAATCAACCACTGAGCATTTGAAGATAGATTTTCTTATACTAGAAAAAAGCATTTTCAATGCTGCAAAGAACATCTATGCATTTCATGCATCATATAAAATAGTTTTCTTTTCAGCATATGTACAAAATATATTACACTTAATATTCTGTACAGTCGTTCACCATCACATTCTGACCCCTTTTAAACACAGACAACATTAATGAGAGAAAACATCCATGCGGTTGGACTCTCTGGATGTTCTGCAGGATGTAAACGAAGCTGCAGCCACAGTGAGCCCAGTTCTGGGCGGTTTAGCAAACAGAAGGAGAAACCACCATCCAATCTCCTCTCAGTCTCTGGTGTGACACGTGCCTAAACCCAAAGACCTCACGCCTCACTGGTTCGATTTCTCGTCTGGTTTCAGTCTACTACTGTGGCTGTGAAGAAGAGCGGTCGGACAAACCGTCTGATCTGAGAGGGGCCAGTTGTTGCTGCCGCTGCGGTTTCTGCTGCTGGGCTGCTGCAGCAAACGCGCTGTGCTGCTGCAAAGGGAACGCTGCTTGTAGGATCAACTGGGTAGATTGGTTTCCATGAAGAAGACGAGGAGCCTTGAGGACAATATTTAGATTATTTGGACAGAAAAACCTCTGAGAACAACAATCGGGCCTTGTTTTTATCTCACTGTGCTGTCGCTGCTGGCGACAGATTACAAAAGAAGTTTGCAACAGAATTTCCCAAAAAGTTGCAGGAGGTGCGAAGGCCTCACACCAGTGTTGCTCGCATCTTTAGCTGGTCAAAAGCCTGTCTGATATTTTTCCTCTCAGAACCTTGGCAGGAAGTCCAAATGTGGAAGAAATGTGAGACAGTGTCGACTGTACCATACTGATGAGAAAATGATGACAGATAGAAAAGAAACAGACAGTTTGTGACTTCGTTGTGATGAAAACAAAAGCCCAACTGACTCAGTTTGCTTACAATGACAACACGTGGCCATCTTGACTCAGCTATTTCAAAACACAGGTGTCGTATGTACAGCATTAAGAATAATTTCTACCGAGAACGTGTCCATTTCCCCACCAAAATGTAGTTTCTCCAACTGGTCGGTGACAGCGGCAGCCCAGTGAGATTCTGGTTTGAGTTGTGCAGATGACTGAGATCTGCATGATTTACAACAAGACTAACAAAACTCCTTGTTCTAACCAGCTGTGCAGCCCATTTGCAACACACTCATTTAGTTAAAATGAAGGAAAAACAATTGAACAAACAAGCTGCTGGTTTGATTCCAACTAGGAGTGTATGAAGCACAGTAACACTGACTAAAGGTTGGTTTATGCTTGCCGCGTCCGCACGGCTCCGCGTGGCAGAATTGTGTCATTTTAACAACCACGCCCCTCCACCGCGCCTCCGCACGGCCCAAAATTTCCGCAACGCGCACCTCGGAAAATTTCTAACCACGCGGACGGTCGGACGTGGAAAAACATGGCGCCGGCAAGAACTAGTACGGCAGAGGTTGGTAAATACAGACATTTGTATGATTCAGCTCTCAGAGATCACCGTGATCAACATGATGTTAATGATTCTTGGGGAGAAATAGCTCGCACTGTCGGAAAAGACGAGGACGCTGTTAAAAATGCTGAAATGCCATGTTGTACACAGTAATTTCTACTTCTACTATGGTGTAGTGTTGGATGCATGCTGTAGAGCTCCGTGCTGCCCCCTACAGTTTGGGAGAATATTGGCTCACCGCAGAGACGAGCCGCACGAACCATAAACGCTGCGAGTTGTGAAGCGCGTTCCGTCCGCGAGCCGCATCACCGCGCGGAAGGTGAACGCGTCAAGCATAAACCAAGCTTCAGGTGGTGGTGATACCTGCAGAAACTGTTGCTGCTGACTCAGCGGCGCCTGTCCCGCCTGCATGGCTGAAAGCTGTGACTGCGCCTCCTGCTGCTGCTGCTGGGAAATGTTGATGGCCTGCGTCTGGCCCTGCTGAGGAGCAAAGGCCGTCACCACCTGACCCATAAACATGGTGGTGGGAACCATGACTGCTCCACATGCCATCTGTCCTGTCACTAGTTTAGTCAGCAGCTGGGGACCTGCAGGAAACCTGCAGTGAGACAGGGAAGTGGGGCAGATCAGGTACGATTAACTTCATAAGAACAGGGTCAGATTTCAACATCCCATCAAAAAGGAATAACGGTGGTACAGTTATTTAATGTCAGCACAAAAAGGCAGTTTGTGCAGCGTCTGAGTGACGAATAACACCTTATCTGAGCAGAATGGTCCTGTGCAAATGTTGCCACAGCAGGAGCGCAGGGTCTGGAATTTTGTGCCAGGGTTGTGGAAATCTGAACCACATTAGCTGGATTTTGCTGTGGGATCATCATAGTGTTGTAGAGTGATCCAGGAAGGGGAGTTTGTTGAGACTGGGGCATCAGAGTCGAGACCGTTGAGAATGAAAAGTCATAGAGCCAAAAATTAGGGACACGAGTTCTTGAACGTAAACATCTAGAACTAATTCGGTGACCTCACCTGTGAGAGTGCTGGACCATGTTCTGTCCTGAGTTTTAGCTGCTGGGGCTGGATGGCCGGCTGTTGCTGTGTGCTGTTCTGTACAGGCCCTGAAGAGACCACCTGACCCTGAACGTTCAGAGACCCCCCCTGCTGCCCGGCGCTCCCCTGAGACATCTGAGCAGTCACACCTCCAGCTCCTTTCTGTGGGAAAACCTGAATCACACCTCAGAGAGAGGTGAATCCAAACAGAAAAAAACAAAACAACAGAAGACATGTTGGCAGGCCCTCACCTGAACACTGTGTCCCTGCACCCTCTGCAGCTGATCCTGGATCTGCCGCAGCTCATCCTGCTGTCGCTGAATGTTCGTTTCTATTGTCCGAGCTCTCTCCTCCAGCTTCTCCTTCAGGTTCTGCATGGCCGTTAGCTGGCCAGAATACTGCACTGGCTGTTCAGAAGTGCAGACACAAAATAAAAACATGGTGAAGAGTGAAATGTCAGCCACTAACATAAAGAGGCCTAGATGCTCCAGCCCGCTGATGGATCAGGATGAGTTCAAGGGAAACTCGTCCAATAAACACATCTGCAGTGGCCTCTAGTAGGAATGAATGCCTTACAAGTCGTACTAGGCGAAGGAATATACTGGTGCACCATTTCCCTGAACTAAAACGACCCAAATCACAGCCGAGCTTCAGAAAGCAGGTTTTGGAGTCTTATTTTCCGATATTTGGACATCTTACCTCAAATGGATGTTTCATCTCCACAAATAACACAAGCCTGGAGGAGTTCTGCTGTGTAGTGAAAGTGCTAATGCTAACACGTAGCTAGCTTCTACTAGCAGAGACGTTTTCTGCCGTTTCCTGAACGCTAAACAAACAGCCTTCCCATCACGAGTCCAGATGGGTGAGTCTGTGAATGTAGAAGTGTGACGTAGATCTGTCAGGCTTTTCTAATCCTAGAGTTTCAGAAGCTGATGCAGGAGATAGGTGTAGGAGACTATTTTCATGTTCAGCCTGCATGAAAAACTCAGAGTGACTGATTATAATCATTAAACACGGGTTGTCAGTGAACCACACCTTTAAGGGTCAGCACACTTTGGCTCAGGGTGTGTTTCACGAGCTTGTTGCTAATCCACTGTTTGTGTAAAATCAGGGTATATACAGCAATCCTTAAGTAAAATTTACTACTTTTTAATACTTTTTTTAACTACCTTCAGAATTTTTTTACAACCATCACAACACTAAATTAAAAAGGGTTAATCAGCGACCTATTTACACATATTTTAACATATATAACATTCAAAAAGAATAGACTTAGAGACTCACTGATGTTGACAACGTATTGCACATATTTATTTTACTTAGAAAATAAGCCAGGCACTTCTGTTCAGCGCTTCAGACAGTTGACCACGGGGCCTGAAATGATGCACAACGACCACTGAATATGACGTCATCATTATGTGACCGGATATGCTAAAGTAGGGCTGCTCGATTATGGCAAAAACAATAATCACGATTTTTGTGACTGAAATTGAGATCTCGATTATTTAAGATGATTTTTCAATTTATGTAGATTTTTTGTTGTTGTTGTTATTCAGTCATAAAATTGCTCAGGCACAATCAGGACAAAAATAAATAAGAAACAAGATGATCACTAAATTAACTCCTGATTCCCAATATAAAAAGACCAATATACTTATAGCTCATAGTTTATGACCCAAGGGCTATAGACCTTGGTTTAACTCATGTAAGTCTAACCAGTACAGACCCAAATACCAATATCTTGCAAATACTGACAGCAAGAATTATACTGTGGCATTTATAACAAATACATGCAAATTGCTGTTCACTAAATGTTGCATAGCATTTATTGAGTCGTGTCAAGGTGCTGTAGGAGCGTGCACTAGCACCGTGTCCTCAGAGGGATTAGTTATTATTTATCAGCGTGAGGAACTTATTTCTACCTTATTTATAAACTCTTTATTTACAAGTCCATCAGTTAATGTAATAATTGTCCCAACCACAGCTGCACCCCCACACCCCAACCCGGTCTCACAGCAATCGGGGCAAGCTGCACGTGTGTTTAGCACGCCGCACGCGCACATTTAGCCGTTTTTATCGGCTCAGGAGTCCGCAGGTGCGGTGAATGTCACTCACTCTGGTTAATCCAACAGGGAGCTGGCTCTGAGAGCTGTTTCTTTAGCGACCGACACATCACTACATCATTCCCTTTCCTAATGTCCTGAAGAACGGTCCGGAGCGCAGGCGGAGTGTTTAGCTAACCTGCAGGAAACGTCAACGACAGTTATCCAGAAAGTAGCTAAGGGTTACCAGAGATGCTTCTGAGGTGTTCACTAGGTACTTTTAAGATTTAAAAAGTCAAGAAGGGGATCTGAGAAGCTGTTAGAAATAGCGTCAAAGTCGCCAAATTGGCAACACTGTGGAGGAGCGCTTCATTTGCAACTCCGGGCAGCGCAAGTGGGAGGAGCAAATAATCGGCTTGTTTTGTTTTTATAATCGTTCAAAACATTTCATTCGGAATATATTTCTATGTCGATGTTCAGAATACGACATCTGATAGTCTGAAAAAAATAATACCTAATTTGGAAAAAATAATACCTCTGAGACCAAATTTAACACTTTTAATGGCCTTAAATTTGACTATTTTATTTATCACTTTTTAATACTTTTTAAAACCCCGCGGACACCCTGAAAATATATATTTGAGTATATGCATCCATGTGCAGATTTTATGCATGAACAAGCACTATTTATAAACCAACAGCATTGCTCATTCAAACAAAACAGCTTTTTGTGGAGAAAGCCCATGAACAGCTGGTCCTGAGCCATAATAAGCAGAAAATGTTCCACTGACATCTACTTGTGTTTCTCAGAGTACTTTATTTGGCGGGTTTTGCATACTGAAACATGTTGTGTTCAGCTTCCTCCTCCTGCAGCGTTATAGTAACCAGCATGTGCGTGCAGGGCTTCGCTCAACAGAAGGCTGGCTGTGATGCTTGCTGCAGGATAATAGCCCAACTACTAACTCAGAGGGACAGCTTTAGCAGCAGTGCATGTGCATGCTGTTGCTGTAGCATGAAAACATGTGCAGCCGCTTTAACAACGGGACAACATGTGTTTAAAACTAATCACAGGAAACAACGGTTTTATACTTTACTATAAAGGGAGGGACACAGACCAGAGGAAGAAATCAGGATCTTACTTGGGTGGTTGGAATCTGCTGCTGCTGCTGCTGTGAAACCACAGAAGGCACCATGTTCTGTCCTGTGTTTTGGGAACTTATCGACTGCTGAAGGAAGCAACACAAACATTAAATAAGCTCAGACATAGTCCTGGTGAAGCCCCCTTCATGACTCAGGCTGAAGTAGATAACTGAAGCCGCACAATGGAGGGATGCTCCGACTCTTCCACTGACCTGACTGCTGACTGAAGACCTCCGTTGTGACGTCATCTCCACAGCAGAGACAGACTGGCGACCCGGCGTGCTCCTGTCTCCCTGTATTTTCATCTGTGATGCTAAATAGAAAATAGAAGCTCAATGATCAGACGAAAAATCAAACTTCATCTAAAATATCACCACTAGGGTTGTAGCTGTATTAAAGGTGCGTACAGGCGGGGTCAGACACGGCCGTATGGGAGGACTTGCGTGAGCTGCGAGATGAGGCTGAGGGGGTCCTGCTGCGGTTGAAGCGCTCTAAAGCTTCTTTCAGGCTGGATGCATTGAGCTGGGACTCAGAGCCTGAACCTTGGCTCTGCTGTTTAAAATAAAACACGTCACAGACTAATGCTCCTTTTACGCGTCTCAGACTAACTCGTGTCAAAGCAGATGTCTCACCTTGTCGACGGCGATCTCCGGCGGCGACTCCTGAATCCCGAGCTCTCTGCGCTGCTCTGCTCTTACTTCAGCGTAACTGCAGAGGTCAGACGCAGGACAAACACAATTAAAGGATGCTTTTTGAACATTTCAAGTTCAACAGGGTAAACCTCACCCATACCTCACAACCGTGTGTGTGCAGACAATAAACTCCGGTCTGGAGTTCCACTGGTGATAAGTGATGTAGTAATGGGTCTGCAGCCAAATCCACTGCTGACCTTTGGTGAGGAATCTGTAATAGCAGGACTTTCCTTTGCCATACTGCATCACTAACAAGAGACAAGCATTCATCATTCGAACGTCTCAAAAAGAAGCTGACAGGTAGGAATTAGAGAACTCTGCTTACTGGCAGAGGTGTACTTACAGTGTTCGTGGCACTTGGCCAGGGTCTCCAGGTCATCCACATGGTAGTAGTCGTATCCTGAAGTACCCAGGACCTCAAACGGGAGGTAACCTATGATGGGTGGAGCTCTGGACAAATCCATCATTGAGATCAGTGGTGGGAAGTAATTCTGAAACCTTGTTTTATAGTTAAACACCGTCAGTGTTGTCAGTTGGGTTGTTGTTGTTTACTCTAAATCCAGAGCCAAATGCAGGGATGAAGCACAGAGGAAGCTGTGTGAGAATGCTCTTTCTGGACTTCAGCTCAGCATTCAGTCACATAATCCCTGAGATCTTGGTCCAGAAAATGTCTCACCTGGGACTCTCCACCCCCATCTGCCTCTGGATTAAGGACTTTCTGACAAATAGATCACAGTCTGTCAGACTCGGGCCACACCTGTCCAGCACCATCACACTCAGCACCGGGGCTCCACAAGGATGTGTTTTGAGTCCACTCCTGTTTACAATCTACACATCCGACTGCTCCCCTTTCCATCTCTCGAACACCATGATAAAGTTTGCAGATGATACCACCGTGGTCGGACTCATCTCGAAGGAGGATGAGACGGACTACAGAGATGAGGCCAACAGACTGACGGAGTGGTGTTCAGTAAATAACCTCCAACTGAACACCACGAAAACTAAAGAAATTATCTTCGACTTCAGGAAGGGCAGAGCAGACCCAGCCCCACTGTACATTCATGGAAACTGTGTGGAGAGGGTGCACTCCATGCGGTTTCTGGGCGTGCAGATCTCTGACGATCTCTCCTGGACAGCAAAAACCACGGCAGTGGTAAAAAAGGCCCAGCAGCGTCTCCACGTTCTGAGAGTGCTCAGGAGGAACAACCTGGAGGAGAGGCTGCTGGTGACTTTCTACAGAGCCACCATAGAGAGCATCATAACGTACAGCATAACAGCATGGTACGCAGGGTGCTCAGCTGCAGACAGGAAAGTACTGCAGAGGGTCATCAACACAGCCCAGAAGATCACTAGATGCTCTCTGCCCAGCCTGGAGGTCATTGCAAACTCTCGGTACCTCAGCAGAGCGAGTAATATCATCAAGGACCAGTCTCACCCCAGCAATCACGTCTTTCAACTAGTACCATCAGGTCGACGGTACAGGTCACATAAAACCAGGTCAAACAGATTCAGGGATAGCTTTGTTCCCAGGGCGATCTCTATTAATAAGCATATATAAGCATAAAAACAATTAAAACTGCTTAGTGACTGTCAAGGTCACCGTCAACTATTATGCCGCTATTCTAATGCCATTTTTTTTTCCATGATATGGTAGCTGCTATTCTGTATATAGTGTGCTAGTCGGCATATATTACTTACTACTGTTTTGTTTCAGGGGACCTTTATATTTAGAAGTATTATTGTATTGTGCACCAAGGGAGTGGCACTCCAATTTCGTTGTATCCTGTACAATGACAATAAAAGCTATTATTATTATTATTATAATGAACATATGGTGGCTTTAGGGATAGGGCTTCCACATCAGCATTGGCTCGACTGCACCTGGACTGGGCAGAGCGTTCACATCCACATAGCCCGGATATTCCCCACATGCAACCGGTTGTTTGTTCAGCCCTCTTCCCAAGGTTTTCAGCTTCAGGCTGAACTGGTCCAACACACCCACTGTCACCAACTCTAATTCATGCCAAGCATTAGGGGGAGCCTCTGATTGGCAGATAGAATCATCCAGCGGGAGCTTCCTGCATGCGTGATGTATTATCATTCTGGTTACTGAGGGAGAAACAAGCCTCTGACTGAAGCCATCTCTGTCTGAGGAGCGTGGGTTAGGGTTGGACACACACACACACACACACACACACACACACACACACACAGTTTAATTTAATGGAGACATCGCAGACTTCTCCACGTGGCTTTTGCCCTGCCCATGTGCTCAAAGATGCGTTCATGACATCACTGACATCTTCACACTAATTTTGGAGACTGTCCATATGCTCAGTCACGTCCGCATTCCTAAGGATGCGTGTAATCAACCCGGCCAGGCTGGGCGGAGTGGAGCTGGCACTAGTGTGGAAGGGGCTTTAGTAAAAATTTACTGTAATCAACAAATAAATAAATAAATCCAAAAATATACCTAAAAGGCTATTATGCCATTCTGAAGGATGTCTCTACACTGAAGTTATAAATAAACAACTAAATATCATCTTACCCATTAGATAGCTTCCTGAATGGCCTCAGTTTGGAGAAAAAGCTTTTGCATCCTCCAGAACTGACGAGCTAATGGCTAGGGTTGAGTGCGGCCAAAACCAAAATACTCAAAAACTGCTGTAATTCTCTAAATGTTATTGTAATTTATGCAACGGTGTTTATGTAACCATGTCTGTGTTCATTTCAGATGGTGTGGTTATTTACAAGTCCAATCATCACCGTCAGAAGCCAAGTGTAGCTCTACTGATGCATCCAGAGGTGTGGTTCAGGAAGGTTTTATTAGTATTTCTATTATTTTTACATCTTCGCCTGAATGGCTGAACTTTAGAATATCAATGCTGTTTTAGGATGGCATCAACCCGTTTGGAGTTCAGAAGAGCTCATCAGTATGGTTCCCATCGCTTTAACACTACCACATCCTGTTGAATGTACACGCTGAACAGTAATAATAAATAATGTTGCACAAACTGCTGTGAAATTCAGGAAATTGGAGCAGTTCAATTTTAACAGCAATTCTCGTTGGTGCAGGCTGTGCTCACATTAGCCGTTAGGTTACCGGCCTCTCTTTCTCCAGGCTAAAGCTGTCTAAACAGCTTTGTACAACAAATATGTCTAAATGATTTTTTACATAAAAACACACATGAAAAAAAGTCCTAAACATTCTTTTAGACTCTAGTTCCTATTTTATCTCTCTGCTTCAACAGATCAGCACGCTGTCACTGATGCAGGCTAGCCACGCGTTACTGATCAGGCCAAGCTGTCACAATTGTTTTAACCAGCTCTTCTGTAGGTCCTCAAGCTGCTGCTGGTCAGTTTATGTGAACTTAGAGGGACAACCCTGAATTTAGTCTTTCTTATGACATGAAAAGGTCCTTTGTTGCCTTTTGGTCCAGAAGATGATCCCACTAGTTTGCTGCAAACAAAACTAAAGTGGATAGCGTGATGTTACACAATCTGACTGGCGAACCATTAACTGGACAGTTTTTAGTGACGTTTTTCCTGAATCAGCATGAATTACTGTGGGAAAAATACTCCCATGTGCAGGTCAGGCTGTCCTTACTGTTCTTTGGAAAGTTTAATTATTTTCTCTAGAGCCACATCCTGTACTCACAGAAATATCTGACCGCCTGCATTTATGTGGTGAGTTAAACATGCACGTCATACAGCAAGAGACAAACTGTGCTGCTAACAGGAAGAAACAAAAACAAGCTCAACACAAATCTATTTCCATTCATCTATTTTCATCCACTTATCCAGGATTGGGCCGTGGGGGCAGCAGCCTAAGATGGGAGGCCCAGACTTCCCTCTCCCCAGCCACTTGGGCCAGCTCCTCCATGGGAATCCTAAGGCGTTCCCTGGCCAGCCGTGACACGTAGTCCCTCCAGCGTGTCCTTGCATCTCCTCCTGGTTGGACGTGCCTGGAGAACCGCACCAGGTCCAGGAGGCATCCTAAATAGATGCCTGAGCCACCTAAACTGGCTCATCTTGATGTGGAGAGGCAGCAGAGCTACCACAAGCCTCTACTGGATGACCGAGCTTCTCAACTTATCTCCAAGGTAGAGCCTAGACACCCCGCGGAGAAAACTCATTTTGGCCGTTTGTATCTGCGAGCTCATTTTTCTGGTTACAACCCAAAGCTCATGACCATAGGTGAGGGTAGGAACGTAGATCCACCAGTAAATCAAGAGCTTTTCCTTCTGACTCAGCTCTCTCTTCACCACGACAGACCGGTACAACGCCCGCATCACTGCAGACGCAGCACCAATCCACCTATCGATCTCACGCTCCACCTTTCCCTCACTCGTGAACAAGACCCCGAGATACTTAAACTCCTCCACTTGGGGCAGGACCTCATCCTTGACCTGGAGAAGGCATTCTACCCTTTTCCGAATCAAGACCATGGTCTCAGATTTAGAGGAGCTGATTCTCATCCCATCTGCTTCACACTCGGCTGCGAACCGCCTCTTTAAAAGCTGGAGATCACTGTCTGATGAAGTTAACAGGACCACATCATCTGCAAAAAGCAGAGACCTGATCCAAAGGCCAACAAATAGAATCTCAACACGTGCCTATTCTCTCCATGAAGCCTTGGCGAAGTCCAGCTCTCACCAGAAATTAGCCCTACTTGCTGCCAGCAATGCGGACCAAGCTCTGACACTTGTTATACAGGGACCTAACAGCCGTATCAAAGGGCCTGGCACCCCATACCCCCCCCCCCAGTGACTCAGTCGAACGCCTTCTCCAGATCTACAAAACACAAGTAGATTGGTTGGGAGAACTCCCACGCACCCTCCAGCACCCCCCCAAGGGTATAGAGCGGGCGACCAGGATGAAAACCACATTGTTCCTCCTGAATCCAAGGTTCAACAATACAACAGACCCTCCTCTCCAGAACCCCCGAATAGACCTTACCAGGGAGGCTTAGAACGGTTACAAACGTATTTTTAAAAAGGAAATACCTGTGGTCCAAGAAGAGAAATTTCCACTCTAAACTATGTCTGGAGGTGAATTCCTCATTCGGCTCCTCAACAGTGCACATCTCCTGAGAGAGAAGAAGGAAGTTTATAGATCCTCTTTAGTGAAATCCACTTAAAAACATCAAAATATTAAAGCAAATACTTGTTTCAAGTTTGACATCAAGTTGTGAAACACCAAAGTCAAATGCTGAAACATGACCCCAAACCTACTAAATACTGTATTTACACTACAGGACATTGTGCAACATTTCATTAATTGTAGTAACAGCAAAAGGGGCCCAAACCAATTACTGAGCACATTTGTATGATTATACTTTGTCAGAGGTCTGACATTTATCTATTTAAAGAGCAAGTCACCCCCTACCACTCTAACTCTACTCCCATTTGCTGTTTGCACATGCACCACAAGGAGGCGTTGCCTGGCAGACCGAGATGGCGGGACCACTAACAAATATCATCATATGGTACTATCTAACATAATGGCGTACCTCTTATCCAATAGTAATGGCAGATTTAAATTCAAATGTAGTGCAGAGTTTTTACCTGAAGAGGGAGCAACACTATCAGTTTCAGGCAGAATATTTAAATTTCGACTAAGATGGACTATTATTGACTACGCATGTCTACAGCACGATTAGACACCAATTCATATAATTTATTAGCAAAAAGATTTTCACTAGGGGGTGAATTGCTCTTTATAAACTTTGTTTTATTGATTTCATGTAATTCTAATTGTCCAAGACAATGGGGTTTCCATGAGCTGTAAGCCATAATCATCACAATTAAGACAAATAAAGGCTTGGATATCTCACTTTGCATGTTATGAGTCTATTTCATATTAGTTTCATCCTTTTAAGTTGAATTACTGACATGAATTTACTTTTTTATTCACTAGCATCCCTAGCCTAACCCTAACCCTAACCATACACTCCAAATGTTTCATAAAGCAAAACCGAGGGATAAAAGGTTAGATTTGAGAAAAGACCTAGTGTCGTTTAGAGGAGACCGTGTTCTCCTCACTAGGATGACAGACAGGTTTACGTTCCACCACTCATGCAGAACTTCGGTACTGGCTAAGACGACATTAAAGAGCAAGTCACCCCCAAATCAACTTTTTTTTGCTGATAAACTAAATAAACGAGTGTCTAGTCGTGCTGCAGACACGTGTCGTCAATAATTTGGTAATTCAGTGCATCTTAGTTAAAATTTAAATATTCTGCCTAAAACTGTCAGTGTTGTGCCGTTGTCAGGTAAAAACTCTGCACTGCCTTTGAATTTAAATCTGCCACCGCTATTGGCTAAGAGGTATGCTATGATGTAAACTGGTCCTTATGATGTCACAATGCTGTCGTGAGCCTGAGTGTGTGTGTGTATTTGTCAGCGGCTCCGCCCTCTCAGTCTGCCAGGCAACAGAATTTGTTGCATTTTTCAAACATGAAGTGGGAGTGGAGTTAGACTCTGGTAGGGGGTGACTTGCTCTTTAAATTACGGCCCAGCAGGTGTTCCTGGGGAGACTGTTCTCGTGAAATTCTGTCGTTATCACAACATCTTTAAATCCGGAGGAAAGGAGAACGAGAAGACTCTCACCTTGATAAACTGTGGTTTGGCGAGCCTCACAGTTGCAACGAGACAAACTTTGTCCTCAAAGGCAGAGTGAAGCGATCGCTGGATCACGCCATCAAACCCGTTTCCGGTACAGTTAGGCACTGTTAAGAAGTCCAAATAAAACTAATGAAACCCGGCAGATTTTAAAAAGTATAACTCAAGACTGCTTTGATACCTTTCTTGGCACAACTAACCTTTTTTCAGGGATTTGAAGTTTCCTATAAACCTGACATATTCATACACAGGAGGTTCTTTGGGGTCGATAGTCCCTCGGAGCATATGGCAACAGAACTCAAGCTGATTTCTTGCTACAAAACGTAAGTTCAAAAACATAAAAAAACTTTTATTTCATGACATAACTTCTAATTTATATGGGCACATTTGCTATTAAAATCATTAAACCACTAGAAAAGTAAAAATGCAATGAGAAAATGTCTCACTTTTTAAGTAATCAGGCGTTAGCATCTCCCCCTCCCGGACCTGAGCGGACAGAGCTCTGTAGACTTCAGAATGCTCCCCCATCGGCAAAAAGTTCAACAGGTTCTGATCCACCAGGTCGGACTGAAAACACGCCAGGTGTTGGGTGGTTATCAAAAGACACACACGGGCTTGAAGCTAAACATCTTAATAAATCCAAAGGTGGGCCGCTTCTACTCACAGGTAAATGTTCTAGAAGAGACGTCACATTCTCAGACACATAGATTATATTACCATCGGTCATAATTGCAAGAAAAAACCCATCTAAAGCCTGAAAGAGAAAACATTCACCAGTGATTTGTGATTAATTTATCACAGAAACAAAAGGAAAGCAAATGCAAGCCAGCCTCACCTCCAACATCAGCTGAGTGAACTCCTCATTACTGAGAAATGGAGGCTTCCAGTCTTGTCTGATCTCTGTTGATTCTGACTGAGCAGCAATTTCTGATGGAGGACATAAAACGTGTGGCCAACATCATCTCAAGGCTAAACAGATTCATGGCACTCCTGAGGTTTCATTTACCCTTGTGTTTATGTAGAAAGTCGATGCTTTTCTGCAAAATAGTTGACTTGTCCATTTTGCATGTGTTGCCAGGCAACATGGTACCCAACTCCTTAATGAGGACATTGAATTGGTCTCTGCGTATCTTCTCAGACTTGTTACGGGACACACTGTTGATTCAACAACAAATAAAGGAAAGACGTTTTATAGTCTGGGACAACAGTTCTGATTAAGAGTTTTATACTTCTCAGATGTTTTCTGCTGTTTTGTTAGCATAAATGCTAAATACCATCAGATTAGGAAAATTTAATTCTTCAACTTAAATTAATTTTGTTTATTTAACCAAACCACAGGAATCTTACCGTTTTGCTTTGTCCTTTTCATCTTCTTCTATTAACCCATCAAAAATGCTGCTGTCATCTCTGCAGAGTGAATAAAACTGTTATCAGACCCAAGCTCAACAGAGGTTCATCTGTTCCAGCGCACCTCAGCGCTCCCAACACGTGTCTGAGTGTTCATCAACAATGTGTCACATCGACCACCAAAGAGTTGCTTACATTTCTTAGAAAATCTGCATAAGGTGTACTTCCACAACTGATGAACTTTTGGTCAAACCCAGTCGAGTGGTAAAAAAATGGTAATTGACCTTTATTTAACCCTTCTTGGCTGTGCAATGGTACAAAAAATTAAAATGAATAAATCCCTTGTTTTACTAGAAAATGGCCCAAAAATATATGGAAATAGTGATAAGTGGTCTATTTATTCATCATCTAAGAGAGCAACGCTTGACAGGTTATTTGTAAGCAGTAATGATTAGATCTAAATGTAAACAACTCACCGGTCAATGCTCGAGGTCATTTTGTGTCCTGTTCAGGGCTGCAACATTGAAGTGTTGTCTTTTAATCGTGAGGTAGACATTTGTAAATGAATCTTAAAGAAAAGGTTAAATAAAATCTCATTATAAAGAAATTAATACCAGTAAAATCAATCAAGCTACAGCTGAATATTAACCATACCAACAACAAAGCCAGTCCTGTGAGAGGAAAGTGTGTCTGGGGGAGAGAAGAGTTTAACTGGACAACGAGTCAACTTTCCCGAGATTTGGAGGAGACTCGCTGAAAGCTTCTACAGTCAAAGGATGGATGATATTTAAAGCATCAGTGAGCAGAGCTTTTGGGTGGATTAAAGTGTGGAACATCACAGCAACGCCCGAGTCTGTGGGAGAAACAACAAACAAACAAATCAGACAAAAGGTCCAAACAAGCAACATATTTTAAAGCTAATAGGGTTTGATTAACTATAGCTTCAAATTAATCTGATTTATATTTTGGAGCTGGTAAAATGGTGAGGCTGTGCGGCAGGGTTTTCTGGGAGATCCTAATAAATGTAAATGTAATCAGCAGTGAGAATGGACAACTAAACCATCTCTAAACAGTTTTAGAAAATACCACATTTCATGTTTCATTCTCCAGAGTTCCATTGATCCAGGGCAGGAAATTCCCAGAAAGGCCACTGAGCCGAGTGGAAAGGCAGAAATACACAAGGCTGGTTGGTACATGATAGAGTGAGTAAAATAAGCCGTGGAAATACAAGATTAAGAGTAAAAGCTGTTTCATACACAAAAGACACTGACCACAGCTTTGCTTACAATAGCTAACTGGCTAATAGTGCTGATAATCCGTCAGATAGTCACAAACGACGTAACTCTAATCACCATCTAGATTTCACCACTGTTCCACCGAGGCACCTAATACATGCGGTAAAAATCAGGAGCCCTCTGAGATTTTATAGACAAGAACCTCAACAATTTAGTTTAAAACTTCCATCTAGCCATCCATACGTTTGTGACCATCTAAGGTCCGATTGTTCAGGTAACAGTTGTTCCAGACATCCCTCTCCTTAGCAACTCTCCAGTTCACTCTGATGTGTCCCAATGTGTTCCCAGACTACAGATAATATATCTTCCAGTGAGACCTGGGTCTGTCCCAGGGTCTCCGCCCTGTGGGATACTGTAAAACCTCCAGAGGGAGGTGACCAGGAGGCATCCTGATCAGGTGTTCAAACCATTTAGACCAACCTTGTTTGGTTTAGAGGAGAAGCTACTAGTGTGAACTTTCAGTGAAAACGAAGCAGACAGCTTTTGGTTCATCTCAGTAAAGCAGCTGAACTGTCTAAAAAACAAACACGTGGACACACACATACACACACAGTGACGATGTGAGGTAGAAAGATGATAAAACAAAAATGTTAACCGATATTTCTGCACAAAGTATGTGTTGTGTAACTGGGAGAGCAGAGGTTGTATAAGCATGATGTCATCCATGCTTCACTGACCTGCTGGCCCACTGACCTACTTTTCCCCTCCTCCTCCGATCCAACTTAGTTACGTCTCCACAGGCAATGACTTTCATTTTTCACCAATAACACAGCCCGCTGTAGACAAACAACTGCATCACCTGGCGAGTACCAACACAGGTGAGCAGTGAGTCAAACTACCTGCGTCTCACATTTCCTTATTGAATCTCATCATAAGCAAAGACTTCTTGGTGTTTCTAAGCCTCACCAGGCACAGACGTCCTAAAAACATCAAACGACAGACTTGTTATTCTTCTATTGCTCACACAGCATTGTAGAATGCTATGAGTGGGTTTGCGTGAATGTGGGTGTGTGCATAAGCAAACTCAGATTTAGGGCTGCTGAGCTCTGAGGGTATGAGTCACTCTGAAGTGGATCTACGGCGCCTCTCGTCACGCACCACACCACACCCAGAACGGAGATGCCAGCACAGCAACTGTGCCAACAGGCAACACCACAGCCTCACCATGCAGAGTAAAAATAGCCTGTCCGAATTCCTCCACAGCTGATGCGCCATCTGACCAGACTACGTGTTGTCATGAAGTGAGTCAATGCACTGCAGTAACAAACATCCTGCAAACAGTAGTATATTATTGATTTTACTGTGCATCGTTTAGAAAGAACCAATTACAGGCAATCTCTTCCATCCTCGCCCTTTTGTGATGCATGTGCATCCAATCAAGCCATCTCTTAGTCTTTGAGGTTCGAAATTCAAGTAATTCAATTCAATTCAAAAACACTTTATTAATCCCAGAGGGAAACTGATTGCTGTAGTAGCTCAGACTAATAATAATAATAATCAAGTCATCAAAGAGGTGTTGTATATTACAATGGCTGTTGGCAGGAAGGATCTCCAGTAGCGGTCAGTGTTGCAGCAAAACTGAAGAAGCCTCTGACTGAAGACACTCTTCCGTTGTCGGACAGTCTTGTGAAGAGAACGCTCAGGGTTGTCCATCATGTTCTTGATTCTCTGGAGAATCCTTCTTTGCATCATCTCCTCCAGCGGTTCAGAAACAGCCGAAACTCTGGCTGAGTCCTTGAAAGGGCTTGGAGTTCCTCCGTCTTGTTGGCCAGTGATCTCACATCGCCCGTTATGATCGATGGAAGAGATGGTTTGAATTTCCTCTTTCTCTGTCTCCGTTTGGCTCCCGCTCTGCACCCACGCTTCTTGTGTTTTAGCTCATTTGGGATTTGTGGCTTCAGTTGAGGTATTATTTCAGCCTTTCCAATGTTAAATCAGCTGCTCCTGATTGTAAACCAGCTTGTTGCCATGGTTAAGCATCATAACAAATGCTCAAAAAGTGAGAAAAGCTACAAAATTGCAGTAAAAATCCTCCAAGCTTCACAGCACCAGAAACAGAAAAGCAAAGTGTCCAAAAAAAAACACATTTTTTCTTGAGAAACTAGAAGAAAAAATGTCCAAGAAAAGGCAAAACTTACATATAGTCAACAGAGCTACTCCAACATGCAGCCGCCCAGAGCAGTGCAGTTCCAGAAAAAGTCTATATAAAATTGTGAATGTTACTAAAAAGTAATACAAGTGTAGTGTAGCTTACATTTATTCAACAGGAAACATAGAACATAAGTGGCACAAATGCTCAAAAGTTTGGTTATACTTTACAAGTAAGGATGACAACAGGGAAACTTGCATCCGCCCCCAAAGCCTTGCCACAGAGGAGTCGTTTCACCATCTCAGTGTCCTCAGCTCCAGAGATTGGAGAGTCCAACCTAAAGTCCTCAAACTCCACTTTCTCACTAGAAGACAAGCCAGTAGGATTGAGGAGGTCTTCAAAGACCTCTGTCCACCGATCCACACTTGACCGAGTCGAGGTCAGAGGCACACCTTCCACACTGTAAACAGTGTTGGTAGAGAATTGATTTCCTCTCCTGAAATGAAGGATGATGGACCAGGATCTCCTCAAAGCATTACACAAGTCTTGCTTCGTGGCCTCAATTAACTCCTCCCACGCCCTAGTTTTTGACTCCATGACCACTTGAGCCGCATTAGGCTTGGACTGCTGGAACCCATCAGCTGCCTCTGGAGCCCCACAGGCACAAAAAGACCCGATAGGATTCACTCTTCAGCTTGACAGCATCACTAATCACCGGTGTCCACAAGCAGGTTCGGGGGTTGCCACCATGACAGGCGCTGACCACCCTGTAGCCACAGCTTCAGTTGGCCGACTCGACAATGGAGGCATGGAACACGGCCCACTCAGACTTAATGTCCCCCACCTCCTCCAGAATGCGTTCAAAGTTCTCTGCTAGATGTTCCCAGCAGACCCTCATAATGCGTTTGGGTTTGCTACGCCTAATTCCAAACCATGTCTGACATGATTTAGGTGTACTCCATTAGCCCTTATGTTTTCTTCATAACCCACGTAGTTAAACGCTTGTTGTTGTGAGAAGCAGCTTCAAGATAAAAACACGTTTACACAAATTATCGATGTAAAATTAGATCCTGCATGTTTCTGGAGATGCAGCTGGGATTTGTAAGCAATTAAATTCACACTGCAATGCTGTAATCTCCCCAAATATCCACCAAAACGACTGAAGCGTTGCACCAAACTAACCCTTCACATGGGGCAGCCAGCTGTGTTTCCACTTAATGCACACACTTCCACAGGCTCAAAGACACAAAAACAGCCTTTGTTTTGAATTTTCACTCCACAGCATACAGACAGGAATGTTTGAGAAGCTAACAGCAGAGCCTGGCAGACGCCCCCCAACTGCGGCTGGCTGCTGGTCTCAAAGGAGCAGGACCTCTGCCAGGGGCCTCATGCTGATGCCAAGTGGGTCACTGAACTTCAGAAGGATGAAAGGCAGCACAGTGGGAACAAGAGGAGTGACTGAGGATTAAAACTACAATCCAAAACTGACTTTAAACCCAAAGCAGATACTTGTTTGCAGAAATGTTAATAACAACCAGACATTTACTCAACAATTTAAAACCACTAGAAAACCAGAACAGATGTAGGTTTGAATTTACTTCACTTGGTGTGTTGATTTGTTTTTTTCCCCTAAAACCTAAAAGGATTTTTTTTCCCAAATACATTAGAATTTCAGCCTAGTTCTACTGACAGCTCTTGATTTCAGATAAAAATTGATCATGTTAAGGAGTGGATTACTTGTTTAATCAATACATTTGCAGTGGTCTCTAGAAGGAACTAATGCCTTGCAGGCAGTGCTCAGGGTACAAAAAAAACATGCAAAGCCCTATCTCAGCAGGCCAAGTCTGCGACATCGCAGCTGAGCTTCAGACGACAGAATTTGGAGTCTTATTTCCTGATATTTGGACATCTTGCCCCAGATTGGATGACAGCAATGCAACTCTACCACTGACTTGCACCATGGATGTTTTATCTCCACGAATAACACAAGCCTGGAGGACTTCTGCTGTAAAGTGAAGTTGCTAATGCTAATTGTTAGCTTAGACAGTATGTCCGCTGCTGATTCCTGGACATTAGAACAACAGCCTTCCCTGTCATGAGTGAGACCATGAATGTTAGTTTCACCATGGATCAGAAGCTAATGCAAGAGATAAGCATTGGAGACTATTTTCATGTTCAGCCTGTATGAAGGAGTGACATTTAAAAAATGTTTTTTTTTTTCAGTTAACCACACCTTTAAACAAAGTAAAAGTAAAATAGTCATGATTCATGAACTTACATGCACTATTATGAATTGGTTTACATACTAATCATTGAGTATAAACATTAGCATGGTATAAAATCCAAAGGTAAATTGAATGCAAATATACTAAAACAACTGAATGGTCATCAGATGTGCACTTTGTTTCTATGTTTCTTCCTCTTTACTTGCTTTTGGAATTTTCCACAAAAAGGTTATTCTGGACAAAA